CCAGATGTCGGTAGCAACCCAAGTAATCCATACATTTTTTTTTTTTTTTGTGAAAATGTTTTATTTAAAAGCATCGTATTCAAACGTTGATTTAAAATCTCATAAAATCTTTGTATTGACTGTAATGCACTAACTGCCTTCCCCTCAATTTAACACCAGTTGCAATTTGTAAAAATAAAAATAAAACAGTTTGTATCAATCATACAGCCAATACATATTTTCCTGGAAAAATACAGAAAAAGTATGTCATTATAAATACATAGAACACACTTGTTTAGTTTAGAATGTGTAGTTTGTTGGATTTCGAAAATGTAAGTAGTAATGTGTTTCAACATTAAATATATTATATACTGTATATTACACATGCTACTGTTTTTAGTATTAGTTTTAGCAACAAAATCTATCAAGTCTTTTAATAATCTCCTGGTAAAGCGGGAAAAAACTTGCCTTTGCCACTGGAAACCACTGACCAGTAATAGATCTTTTTGAGGTTTTCTTCAAAGAATTTAAATAATTTAGATGCTTTACAAATCTGGTGTTGCCTTGATTCTCAGTGAAAGAAAGTAGTGTACAAAATGATAACAGTCGCCTGTCCCTGCACACTGAATCCTAAGTGTTAACTACGTGTTTTAACATGCATATACAAATACAGGCCCTTTTAAATAAAGTTTTCAATTCTAGTTTGCACGCAGTTTCAATAACATTCTGTAATGGTGTGTTTACATGCCTTTTTGTTATATTGTAAATATAAATTCACACGTGGCACTGCGATAAAACGCTCTCAATTAGTATTCTGACCATACCAGCATTTAACCAACAACAATGATGCTCCATGAATCTTTAAAAAAATGCTTTTGGACACAATCCTTTATTTAAAAAGAATATATATATATTTCTATGTAGACTAATTATTCATGTAAACAGCCCGAAGCAAAGAAATCAATTAACAACAGTGAGTGGTTTTCTCTTTTTGTTGTTATTGTTTGATTAATATGAATGTCACCTTCACAGAACATGCACACAATGAACAGGTACATCTGTATAGAGTACAGCCTAAACTAGCGTGTCTCACTTTTTGTGTGTCTGTCCTTTCTCAGAGTCCTTTCTCAGTCCTGTGGTGCTCCTGCAAGCCTCTGGTGATGTAGCGACAGAATTAAAGACACTGTGATGTTGGGACTGAGAATGCAAAATGTAAAAAAAATATAAAAAATAGCATGAATAAAACAAGGTTATTATTGTAATATAGCCTACCAACCAAAGCCCCCTTTTAAACATTTGAGGCCAGTGCATAACCAGCGACCGAGTATAACCACAACAAGTCTTTTCTACACTACGAGCAGCATCAACCTGAATTGCAAAAATCACTAAAAAAGGAAAATGCATCAAGACAAGCAGTCTGCGAGGGTGTGAAGGTTAGTTTGGGTGCACTAACCCTGACCCTAAACGCTCACTAACCCTAAAATCAGACGGAAATGACAGATCGATAAGAACATTGTTTAAGCTTCAGCCTCAACCTTAACCTTACAATCGAATTGATAGAAATGTTGTTCCAAGACCAACAAAGGATATTGATGCCAAAGCATTTCCCCTGCATGGACAAATCAGATATCAGAACTAGTTAGTTAATGAGCCGTCTGAGACTGAGGGTTAGTTAATGGCTAGGGATGGTCACTATGTTTGTCTAACCAGTGTTGGGACACTTACTTTGGAAATGTAATCGGTTACAGATTACAAGTTACTCTATTTAAAATGTAATAAGTACAGACTTTCAGAATCCTTCATCGCTTAAGTTAAGATAATAATTTAAATGGAAGGCACAGTCACCACAAAATCAGAATACTTTGAGGTTATTACAAAAACTCACACAAGCAGGTAAAGAAATCTGAGATCTATTAATAATTAAACAAATTACATGGTATTGGAGCAAGTGCATATTAATGTACACAATTTAGGGTCCGGTTTACGGTCTTCCGTTGCAGCATTAAGCCGGACCCTTGTTTGTCCTTTTTTAAGATAATCACTATTTAATACTTTATGCAATTGCATACAATTCATGAATGATTTGTTTAAATATACATACATTTTAGACACAATATGTCAATACCAAGTGTTTTTGCTCTATTCCGCCATGAAAATCAAACCAAATCACACTGCAACTTTTGCATCTCCAATAAACTCTGTAGTGTTTTGTCAGTGATTCAACGGCCCATTAACTTGCTTTGTTCCTGAATTAATCAGCTGTTTTGAACAAATTGGTTGAATGAATCATTTAGTTAATCATTAGGACAGTGACTTGCCATCACCTGGCGGTTTTAGTTTCATATTTAAAGTGTAATTTCATTTTCCCCCAACATTGTCTATTTCTATATTTTAAATGTTAATCCTATATTATGTATGCCATTGTAAGGGCAGTGTAAATGCATTCATGACACCTCTGAGCTACATTATACAGTTTGTGTAAATGCACCTATATACCACTTCAGATGCTGCTTCTGTGCCACTTCTGCAGTGCAAAGATGGATTTGTTTATACTTACTTAATTTGATTGGTAACAGCCCTGATGTCTTATTATTCTAATTGCATTCCCTGCAGTGAATGGGTGCCGTCAGAATGAGAGTCCAAACAGCTGATAAAAACATCACAATAATCCACAAGTAATCCACGGCACTCCAGTCCATCAGTTCACATCTGGAGAAGACAAAAGCTGCATGTTTGTAAGAAACAAAACCATCAAGACGTTTTTAATTTTAAACCATCGTTTCCAGCAAAAATACAAGTCCATGTTCCATAATAAGGCTTCCTCCAGTGAAAAAGTGCATCTCCTGTTGTCTCTTACATCAAAATCCAGCCGCAGATTAGTTTAGAGCTGTTTAAACAGTGCTTGATCTGTGCAGATTTCTCTCCTGATCCAGAACACTTTTTCACTGGAGGAAGAGTTATTATGGATTATGGACTTGTATTTTAGTTAAAACGTCTTGATGGATTTGTTTCTTTTGTCTTAACTGATGGACTGGAGTGCTGTGGATTACTTGTGGATTATTGTGATGTTTTTATCAGCTGTTTGGACTCTCATTCTGACGGCACCCATTCACTGCAGAGCATCCATTGCTGAGACACTGATGCAGAGACGCATTTCTCCAAACCTGATGAAGAAACAAACTCATCCTGATCTCGGATGACCTCATTTTCAACTATTCCTTTAAATAAAGTTTCTTTAAGGGTGTAAACACAGAGATTGAATATTTGTGTTTTGTAAGGACTTTCCAGCATTACTGCAGAGTCAGACAGAGCTGATGCTGATGATTTGATCAATACAGCATCACAGCAACAATGAAGACCATCGTGTAATCTTTCAGTGTAAGTATCAGATCGTTTTCATCTGGTTTATTGCTTGCGATAGCAGCACTTGTTCTTGCCTCACCAGCACCACATACAGAATTGCTTCAAGATCATTCATCTAAACTTTCAAAAGACTCTAACCAAACGTGGTTTAAGTCTTGAACATGAAGTGATGTATGTGTTTTCTGTTAAAGTCTTCACACACAGAGCTGTGCGTTAGAAGAAGCCGTCATATTAATTCCTGAACGCGCTCCAGCGGCCTCGTCTGACTCCATCTGGAAACAATAGCGCATGAAGAACAAGAAAAAGCTCTGACTCAGCGTTAGCGAAGCCGGATCATATCTGCTTCCTACGGCCAAGAGAGAAAGACAACACAGCCTGTAATGTGATGGCAATGTGACACGCGTCATGTTTAATAAGAACTGCCATTTATAACAAATCCTGCGTCCACTCTTCAGAATAACACTCGCTGTGGACGAGCGATTACATTCATCTACTGCTGCTGTGCAACAAATACAAATACTGTAAATGATGGAAGTCATTTGTGCGACGCAGCTCTCTTCAAAACCCACATGTGCCGAGTCTCTCCATCAGACCAAAGACAGATTTGATCTGAGCCGACTATGTTAAATGTGACACTTCTTACAGTTCATCAAACGAGTTTAATTGGCATTTTGTTTTCCTCCACAATAATGAAACCCAAACACGTGACAGTACTGTGAAGGCATGATTAAACATACAAAAATAGCCAATCGTGCAACTATACCCGAAGTTGAACAGGAACATAAAAGCTGTATGTTACAGCAGAATAGCATTCTGGCATACTGCAGTATTGTTAATAAATAAGAGAATTAATATCAATCATACAAAAGCGTCATGTTAAATTAAAACCCCTGTTATGCAACAGCTTATCGGCTGCTGTTAATATCAACATATAGCACCAAAAATGACTGTAGCTCTACTACACTGTAAAAAATGACCGTGAATTTAACGGTAAAAGACTGTAAAAATGCTACAGTAAAAACCTGTTAAATGGTTAACGGTAAATTCCCCTACTATATACGGTGAAAAACTGTATTGGACATTACATGCATTGGACATTAATTTTACGGTAGTACACCATTTTTGGAAGTGAAAAAGTCCGTATAATTTACAGTGAATAACCGTAAATTGACTTTCCCAGAATTCCCTGCGTTACATTTCAAATTTGATGTTTTTTTGTTAAAATAACTATGTTTCTTCTTAGTTTTTTCTGATCAGTTTTGTATATGAGGGTTGTGTGTTACACCTAATGTTGTTAAATGAATGTTTATTGCATTATTTCAGTTTCATGTGTGTTACCGTGATGGTGTTTAGTGTTTGTGTGAATGACGCTGTGCTCCTTCTATATATGTTATTATTGCTGCTTGTGATGGGCTTTGGTTCATCATGTGACTCTCATCACCTCCTGCATTTGGTGGTTATCAGTGTATTACAAAGCTACAAAACAGATTTCAGTACTTCAATAGGTTGCAATATTAACATTATTTCAGTTAATGAAATTACGGTATTTAACTGTAAATTTAAGTTAAAACCGTAAAACCTAAAACGTTGCTACCGTATTTTTTACGGTAAAATTCCGGCAACCACATTTTACGGAATTTTTTTTACAGTGGACATGATGCCATATTCTCCACAATGAGATGCATTAATCCCGTTTATGATGATATTATGAGGCATGTTCATGGAAAAACACAACACATGTCCATGCATCTGGACACATGGATTCAGTTGAGCCTATATCCGAGGCAGAGCTCTGTGAAACACAATGAAAAGAGTCTTTGCACCCTTGCTGACATGCTGTCGCCTCCAGAGGGCTTCGTCGATGACAGTCTCGCCGGAACCGGCCGTGCCATTCTCCAGACAAACAAGCCGCTCCGAGTGTTTAATAATGTCTTTGTGTTCAGTGTGAGGGCATGGCTCCGCTCCATCCAGGGCTCAGAAGTCAAACATCTCGAGAGGTTCTCACGGGTTCGTGTGCGAGCAGGACTTGCAGCATTGCTTCCCGTAGAACTTGTGGTTGCAAACGCCGTGCTGCGGCACCAGATAACACCAGCTGATATGATCCTTACAGACCACATCTGCACAGAGAAATTACACAGAAGCATGAGATGCATGTCTGTCACACTTTAGCTTGGGGACCAGTTCTCACTTTTAACTAACTATTCACCATGGCTTTTACCTAAACTCCTAATTTGCCTAAACTGACTAATAGTCAGTAAGGTAGTTGTATGGGGTTTATGAATTAAAAGATCTAAAATATGGTCATGCAGAATAAGGCATTACTATGTGCTTTATAATTACAAATAAACAGCCAAATAGTAATATGCACGCTAATAAGCAAATAGTTAGAACAGTGAGAATTGGTCCCTAAATTAAAGTGTTACTAGCATGGTCTTTGTACATTTTGATCATTTCATTTCAACCGATTTGTAAATCACAAACAAACAGACAAACAAAAAAAATTATATTTCTATTTAGATTTAATTCATTTTCATTATAGTTTTAGCAATTTTAGTACTTATAGGCCTAGTACTTATTTTTAGCTTAATTGCCAAGGAATTTATTCTTCAATTAAGTTTTTGGAAAAAAAAAATCTATAATTTTGACCCATACAATGTATTTTTTGACTATTGCTAAAAATATACCCCAGTGACTTAAAACTGGTTTTGTGCTCCAGGGTCACATATATGACCCACATACTGTATGTGTGTGTGTGTGTGTGTGTGTGTGTGTGTGTGACCCTGGAGCACAAAATCAGTCTTAAGTAGCACAGGGATATTTGTAGCAATAGTCAAAAATGCATTGTATAGATTTTTCTTTTATGCCAAAAATCATTAGGATATTAAGTAAAGATCCATGATGTTCCATGAAGATATTTAGTAAATTTCCTACCGTAAATATATCAAAACTTAATTTTTGATTAATAATATGCATTGCTAAAGACTTAATTTGGACAACTTTAAAGATGATTTTCTCAATATTTAGATTTTTTTGCACCCTCAGATTCAAATAGTTGTATCTCAGCCAAATATTGTCATATCCTAACAAACCATACATCAATGAAAGGCTTATTTATTCAGCTTTCAGATGGTATATACATCTCAATTTTGAAAAATTGATACTTAAGACTGCTTTTGTGGTCCAGGGTCACATATACTGTATATATAATCTATAGCTTATCTCAATACTAAAAAACACTTCTGAAAAGTGCATTGATTACATAACCAGTACTATGTGATGGAATCATGTCCCAGCTCACGACAGACCTTTCTCCTGTGGCTGAGGGCAGAATGCAGTGTTGCAGGCCTGGGACATCACAGGCTTCATCTGCGGGACACAGCCGGAGGAGAGACGTCCATGAAGGAGACACTGCACGGAGCGCAGCTGAACGCCTCCTCCACACGACACCGTGCACTGCAGACAACACAAAACACTAGGGATCATGTAACCATATCATCAATGTCGTGATATCGCCATAGCAAAACTGTCTCGACATTATCGTGGTCACATGACGACATGAAACGATATATGTCTTCCGGGCAAAAAGTGCAGTTTTTAAAATATATTTGAACTTCTTATTCTAACATAAAAGGTGTTTAAAGTTGTGTTTTGGGGCATTATGCTTTGGCACAGTATCTGTCAAACGAACTCAAACCGAAAGCACAATATGGCTTAATCCAGAGGTGCCCAAACTCGGTCCTGGAGGGCCGGTGTCCTGCAGAGTTTAGCTCCAACTTGCCTCAACACACCTGCTGGGAAGTTTCTAGTATGCCTATAAGAGCTTGATAAGCTGGTTCAGGTGTGTTTAATTGGGGTTGGAGCTAAACTCTGCAGGAAACCGGCCCTCCAGGACCGAGGTTGGGCACCCCTGGCTTAATCCCTTCATCAAGTCTGTTTCAAAGCGAAGCACACACTTTGTTCAGACGATCAGCTCGTGATCCGGTGTCAGAACGGCTCGTTCACACTGAATGAATGCAGTGAGCTCGTTTATTGCAAGTGATGTGAATTTTAACGCAACGGCCACCAGCTATGCTTTATTTTCGCGGCGTATGATTACAGCGTTTCACTAGATTTGTAGTGAGACGTGTTTTTGTAAGCCTGTTTTCACTGAAGCTGGAGTTTTCCTTCAAAATAAAAGCTTAAAAGTGCAGTATGAATCGCTGACAGCTAGCGGTTTAAATGCAATCCAAATTCAAAATATCTCTATCAAGTGTAGAAATTAGGAAAGAAGTATTGTAATTTCCCTACTGTAGTGTAAAGCAAAAATAATATACCTATGAAATATTAATTTTCATTTATTTTACATTGCAATTGTTTTGTTTGGCTTCCTAAAACCCCAGTGTGAAAGTAATTTAGACTGAGACACTATATCACAGATGAAAAGAGGGTTCAAGTCAATTCACTGACTTTTCTCTGACTCAAGTTAAGGTCATGGGTTGGCGCTCTTAATTTTGAACTCTCAAAGTGCATTAGACAGAATAATTTAACTTTTAAATTTTTTCCCCAATTCTTCATTTGTCTTTTTTTTTTAAATATTGACTGAATATTATCATATCAGATTTTGATATTGTTACATCCCTACGAAACACAACATCAAGCTCCTGAGCTCATGGGACGAGGGAGACCTGCCTGAGACCACGGGGAAGAGTACCAGTCCGCTCTGCTGTGAGGACAGTCTGACAGGACACAGGTTCTCTGGAGCTCCATGGAGGGTTTGGGCACATGCTGACACTTTCTGGCTGACAATTCTCTGTATTTTCCTGCGACGTCCTTCTCTGCGCACTTCACAACACGCAGCTGAAGGCCCTTACCACAGGACACTGAACACTGCAGAGAGACAGAAAGAACATCACCGCCCTCGTTCAGCTCAAACACACGTCTGTGCATCAGAAAATATGCTTAAGATCATGCGTTCAATTTTCAGGAAATGCATGAACTTATAAAAAAAAAGTATATAATGAATGCAGTGCCAGTTGCTTTGGAAAAGCATCTGCCAAATAACATTTACGCATTTATGCATTCAGAAGAGGCTTTCATCCAAAGTGACTTAGCTATTATAATAGAGAAACATAATGTAAGCAATCCTATGTTTATTAGATCACTAGATTAGGAAACACGCTAGAGTAGAGCAGAGAAAAGAAAGGATTATCTGGTAGCGTTTTCGTATAGGGACCAATTCTCACTATTAACTAGTTGTTTATTATCATGCATATCACTAACATATTGGCTGTTTATTAGCACTTATAAAGCACCTATAAATGCCTTATTCTGCATGACCATATTTTAGATCCTTTAATCCTTAAACCCCACACCTAATACCTTACTGACTATTAATAAGCAGAAATTAGGAGTTTATTAAGGCAAAAGTCAGAGCTAATAGTGAGAATTGGTCCTTGGCTATTGCTGTCGTTGTTGTTGTTGTTATTATTCTATTTTATTCTACTTTGTTTGGCTTCCTAAAACCCCAGTGTGAAAGTAATTTAGACTGAGACACTATATCACAGATGAAAAGAGGGTTCAAGTCAATTCACTGACTTTTCTCTGACTCAAGTTAAGGTCATGGGTTGGAGCTCTTAATTTTGAACTCTCAAAGTGCATTAGACAGAATAATTTAACTTTTAAATTGTTTCCCCAATTCTTCATTTGTCTTTTTTTTTTTAAATATTGCAATATTATCATATCAGATTTTGATATTGTTACATCCCTACGAAACACAACATCAAGCTCCTGAGCTCATGGGACGAGGGAGACCTGCCTGAGACCACGGGGAAGAGTACCAGTCCGCTCTGCTGTGAGGACAGTCTGACAGGACACAGGTTCTCTGGAGCTCCATGGAGGGTTTGGGCACATGCTGACACTTTCTGGCTGACAATTCTCTGTATTTTCCTGCGACGTCCTTCTCTGCGCACTTCACAACACGCAGCTGAAGGCCCTTACCACAGGACACTGAACACTGCAGAGAGACAGAAAGAACATCACCGCCCTCGTTCAGCTCAAACACACGTCTGTGCATCAGAAAATATGCTTAAGATCATGCGTTCAATTTTCAGGAAATGCATGAACTTATAAAAAAAAAGTATATAATGAATGCAGTGCCAGTTGCTTTGGAAAAGCATCTGCCAAATAACATTTACGCATTTATGCATTCAGAAGACGCTTTCATCCAAAGTGACTTAGCTATTATAATAGAGAAACGTAATGTAAGCAATCCTATGTTTATTAGATCACTAGATTAGGAAACACGCTAGAGTAGAGCAGAGAAAAGAAAGGATTATCTGGTAGCGTTTTCGTATAGGGACCAATTCTCACTATTAACTAGTTGTTTATTAGCATGCATATCACTAACATATTGGCTGTTTATTAGCACTTATAAAGCACCTATAAATGCCTTATTCTGCATGACCATATTTTAGATCCTTTAATCCTTAAACCCCACACCTAATACCTTACTGACTATTAATAAGCAGAAATTAGGAGTTTATTAAGGCAAAAGTCAGAGCTAATAGTGAGAATTGGTCCCTAAACACCAATTATTTTTTGTTTAGGATTGGTTTGGGGTTGTGGAGTGGTTATGCGCTGATGGAAAAGGAGTCTAAAGCTGTTTCTTGAATGCTGTGATGGTTTCAGAAGTCCAGGTGTAGGTTTACAGCTTTACCGGAGAGGAACAGAGAGGGTGAAGGTTCTGGAATGCGACTTTTTAAAAAAACAAGGCAACTTGATGCAGTAAGACTTTTGAGTTCTCTCAACAATAGTTTTTTACTTCTCAGTAAAGATACTTTGTTTAGCCAATGTAAATTTGTTTATTCATGCAATGCTGATTGTCTTATTTTACTATTAGAAACATTCTTGTCACAGCAACTGAAACAACAATTACTGTTGTGAGGTAATTAATTTTTTTCTGTTTCCTGGAAGATAAAAGAATGCGTAAAAAGTCACCACATTACCAAATTTATGTTTGTTTACGAATGACAAACCTTAATGGATAACTTGGTCTAATTGTCTTTGTTTGCAAAACAACTTAAAAGACTAAGATATCCAGAAAATAGATATAAGTGGTTGAACATACTCTAGGCCTCAAAAATAGACACAAAAAACCTCAAGAATGGTGAACAAATATTTAAAAGATGAGCTCTTTCTATCACATTACTAAAATGCATGTTTGAGCTTTCTCAACTGAAAATAACTTGCACTGACATATCTTAAAATATCTCAGTGCCATTGTTTTGTCTCAAGATGCACGCCAGTAATGTTTTTTTATAAGTCATTTAAAAATATTCTAATTTAACTAAGGCCTAGTCCTGGCTTAAGCTAAGCTCTGTCTGTGAAACTGGGCCTTAGTCGACTAAAACTAAACAGGATAAGGTTGATTAAATATGATAAAAACTAACAAGGACATTTTACACGGGACTAAGACTAAAGTTGAAAATAGCTGTCAGAATTAACACTAATGCAGGTAACTCACAAAGCCTTAACATTTAAACAATATGAAATTCTTTGTTCAGATAACTGTGTTCGGGACAACTTTTGGGGTAATTTTGTTGGTCTGACAAAGGTTTTCATGTATAGTTTCAAGAAAACAGCATTTTTCAGTATTTGAGACTCAAAATGTTTCATAAAATGGAAAATATGCAGTTGCATTTTTTACAGTGTAAATGTAAAATATAAGAGGCCTGTGATAAATGATAAAGCTATCCTATAGCGGATGCTTTTATTTAAAGTGCTCTTATTACAAGGACAATCGCTGGGTTCCTACTCCAAATATTTGCTTTCACACCACATCACCCCAGTGTACACGATGCAGTGCAAGGGTTTTACCGGTTGCCAGGTGGAGACGAACCACTGGGCCTTGCGCTGTTTGTGGCAGCGTTTGATCACGCAGGTCTCTTGGCTGCTGGGTTTGGGCAGAGCGGCACAGGAGGCATCCGGCAGCACGCGGGAGTCACTGCTCACACACGCCACCGCTCTCTTCATCACTCCCTTCCCACATTTACGAGAACACTGGGGGGAAATCCAATCGTAATATCAGACAATAGTCTTCAGTGGCGTTTTAACTGTAGAATTAGTCGTGCATTTATGTGTTTACATTCTGCTGGTCGGTGGACGCAGCATCACACAAAACAAAAACTCTTCTGTTACAGATGCAACTTTCAAAATGCACTATTCACAACGAGCCGCGATTGGCTTATTTTGCAAGCATGTTGACCCTTATGCAACACTATGTAAAATTTGTCTGATGTTAACTGGAGTATTTAATAAAAAATTCTGAGAAAAAAAAAAACGTTTTAAATGATGGGAAAACTGCACCTTGAAGTTTAGCTGAACATATAAATGAAGTACAAAATGCATTGTCCAGAAATGTACAGTTTATCATTGTATTAAATTGTTATGTTCTGGGTCAAACTAGATTCATTTGGTATAAGTAAAGCAGTAAACCTTCAATGTGAATGCGTCTCACATATTGCAAACATGAAAATATAGACTTAACTTTTTTTTAAACATATGTTTTTCACAAAATGAGAAAATTATAATTTTTTAGGGATGTACGATATTAGATTTTTGCCGATATCCGATATGCCGATATTTTTCGAATAGTTTTGGCCGATAGTCAATGCCGATATTGATATATATTACCCTTTGTTTTGAAACAACACCAAGCCTCTCCTGTCTGCAGAAATTAACTTCTCACATATTGCAAACATGAAAATATAGACTTAACTTTTTTTTAAACATATGTTTTTCACAAAATGAGAAAATTATAATTTTTAGGGATGTACGATATTAGATTTTTGCCGATATCCGATATGCCGATATTTTTCGAATAGTTTTGGCCGATAGTCAATGCCGATATTGATATATATTACCCTTTGTTTTGAAACAACACCAAGCCTCTCCTGTCTGCAGAAATTATAAACAAATTATTATTTAACTTTGGTTAGTTTTGAGCAAAAATGTATTTGTTAGAACGTTTCTTTAAATGAAAGGACATTGAAAGCTTTGAAAATAACTATAATAAATTCGATCTCTGCGTTTTTTTTTTTTTTTAAGACAGATGCAGCTGAAACCTTTACATTTTATTTGTGGATCTAACATTAATAGATGGTCTAAAGCAAACGAGCTGTAAAAATGTAAAACATCTTTTAGAGCTCCTTCTATTTAGGTTTTCATAATCCATTTGAAAAAATACATATTTACAAGTGTACTTTTTTGTGATTTTTATTCATGTAAGCTATAGCTTCTGGCCTTTTAATCAAAGCATACTCTGATTTATTTTAAGACATCAATTATTGCTTTATTTATTCAGAAACACAAGTTTAATTCTTTTGTGGGTGTCTGTGCAGTTGCCTTTAACCATGAAATTTGTAATCACAATCGAAGACAGATGCAGCTGAAACCTTTACATTTTATTTGTGGATCTAACATTAATAGATGGTCTAAAGCAAACAAGCTGTAAAAATGTAAAACATCTTTTAGAGCTCCTTCTATTTAGGTTTTCATAATCCATTTGAAAAAATACATATTTACAAGTGTACTTTTTTGTGATTTTTATTCATGTAAGCTATAGCTTCTGGCCTTTTAATCAAAGCATACTCTGATTTATTTTAAGACATCAATTATTGCTTTATTTATTCAGAAACACAAGTTTAATTCTTTTGTGGGTGTCTGTGCAGTTGCCTTTAACCATGAAATTTGTAATCACAATCATAATAGAAATTCCACAACCCCTCAGAGTGTCAAAGCTTTGCAAGGCATGTTCATGACCCTAAATTACAAATAGTCACACAATTTCAAGAAAAGCATCCCAGGTTTACCAGTATTTTTTGCAAATGTGTTCGGGTCAAACTGACCATAATATAACATCATACAAGAGTTTACTGCCTTTGGCTGCTATTTAAAGAAAGATATACATTTTTTTCACACAATATGTTTATGTGGTTTATATTTTTATGTTTAAAGTATCAAGCTGTTAGCTTAGCAACATGCAGAGCATTTCTGTCATTTACACAGGAAGGTAGTTGTCTATGTATAGATACAGTCAAACCAAAATGTACTCAGACACCTTCAACATTTCTCACATTATCACAGTTTATTTGCTTTAGTTTAGAAAATGGTGAAGGTCTAAAGTTATTCAATAAAGTCATTCAATTACCAATAGAATGGTTCTAAAGTGAAGGTCATGGTAACCTTCCATGGTCACTTTAGAATACCTTTAGAGAAGGATTTGGTAATACTTGAGACATTACTAGTAATTTCACTTTTTAGAATTAATTATACATTATGCATAATACATATTAATTATGAACCTGTATTCAGTAGTTCTCCAGGATATATGAAAATAAATATATGTGACTCTGCAGCACAAAAGCAGTGTTAAGTCGCTGGGGTATATTTGTAGCAATAGCCAACAATACATTGTATGGGTCACAATTATACATTTCTCTTTTATGCCAAAAATCATTAGGATATTAAGTAAAGATCATGTTCCATGAAGATATTTTGTAAATTTCCTACTGTAAATATATCAAAACTTAATGTTTGATTAGTAATATGCATTGCTAAGAACTTCATTTGGACAACTTTAAAGATGATTTTCTCAATATTTAGATTTTTTTGCATCCTCAGACTCCAGATTCTCAAATAGTTGTATCTCAGCCAAATATTGTCCGATCCTAACAAATCTTACATCAATGGAAAGATTATTTATTATATTCAGCTTTCAAGTGATGTATAAATCTCAATTTTAAAAAAAAAGACCCTTATGACTGGTTTTGTGCTCCAGGGTCACAAATAGTAGTTATTGATTAGCTAAAAGTGAACTAGTTTCAACTGAATGCTTTTACTTACATCAGAGTTTCTTGTTAGTTAATAGTGGTTACTAGAAGGTTAATAGTGCACTAGTCATTTGTTCCTGTGTAGTTATTCATTAAAGATGGAACAGTATTCTAAAGTGTTACCGTAAAAATGAGTTGTGTGACTGAGCACTAACCTGCGACCAGGGTCCAGCGCTCCAGACCGGCGGGCAGCTGTGTGTGTTGCAGGTCTGTCTGCGAGACGGCGGTGGTTGTGCACACTGGTCATCGGTCACCGTGTGCACCTGATCCAGGCCTGCTTTCTGCACACAGCGCACCTGTCTGATCTGCTCTCCGGATCCACAGCTGCGGCTGCATGCGGCCCAGTCCTCCACACGCCAGCTGCGGTGTACAGTAACACAATGCATATTACTAATCAAAAATTACGTTTTGATATATTTACGGTGGGACATTTACAAAGAGCATAAAAGAAGGCATAAAATAAGAATCGATCATTTTGACCCAATACAATGTATTGTATTGGGTCAAATACAACATATGTGACCCTGGACCACAAAACTAGTCATAAGGGTCAATTTTTAGAAATTGAGATTTATTCACTCATCATCAAGCTGAATAAATAAGCTTTCCATTGATGTATGGTTTGTTATGATAGGACAATATTTGGTCGAGATACAACTATTTGAAAATCTGGAATCTGAGGGTGCAGAAAAATCTAAATATTGAGAAAATCATCTTTAAAGTTGTCCAAATGAAGTTCTTAGCAATGCATATTACTAATCAAACATTAAGTTTTGATATATCTACGGTAGGACATTTACAAAATATCTTCATGGAACATAATCTTTACTTAATATCCTAATGATTTTTGGCATAAAATAAATCTATAATTTTGACCCATACAATGTACTGTGACTTAAGACTGCTTTTGTGCTCCAGGCTCACATATATCATAGGGAATATGTGGTCTTGTGTCTCTGTTGCCATAAACCTGTTTGTGTGAATTTATTAATTATGAGCTGGATTAAACGTTCACACAGCTATGATCTGCAATTTGAGCTTTAATACATACGGTACAGTTGGCACTCATCTGGCCAATCAGACTTTAGTTATTTGCCCCATAAATATGACTGAGCATGGACATTATATTCTATTATGGCTCTATATATCTATCAGTTTCATACTAGTGCTGCTACATAAATTCAGATGTTTAAAATTAACAACTTTATTTTAATAGGGCTCAGGCTCTAAATGTGAACCTACACCCATTTCCATGATGTATTGGCTTCTCCATGCTCCTTTCTGGCTCTGAGGACTGAAGATCAAATAATGTGGTGCCCTAAAATACTCGCTAAGTGTGTCTGCGCATGCTGTCTGTATTCAGGAGATGACACACAACTGACTACTTATGTAAGAGCAGTGTACACATGTGAGTGGATGTGGGTCAAGCAAACATTTATATCCTCATAATCTTCAACATTTTGCTTGATAATGACAATGATTTTTTTTTGGACACTTACATGTGTGAATGTCATTCATTAGATACAACATTTCAAATGAAACCATACCAAAAAGAAGCATACTTGAAGTTAATTTTATTGAGTGAATTTAAGTTCAAGTATATTTTCCAAGTACACTTTATGTCGTAAGTATACTAAAATCATTGTATTAGATGTACTTGCATGTGATATTTCAATACTTCTTGGGACTAAATTGTCACACTTTTAAAAGTGTACTTTAAGTGTAACAGTAGAACACTAGTTACCATATATGTTTTTCTTTAGTTTTTCAACTATACTACAAGTAAACATATAGATATAATGTTAGTTACTAGTTACATACTTCTAGCCCACTTAATATATGAAAGTAATCTACTGAGTAATCTACTAGTTTGCTAGTTTCTACATTGCAAGTACATTTTATATACTATGTATGTATTATTTTCGTACAATTATAGGTCAAATATACTTAGACTTTTCTGTATAAGCCAAGTATACTTAAGTATAACTTTAAGTATATCTCTGATACATACATAAAAAGTAGACTCACAGTATACTCTCTTATATTTAGTTTTTAAAGTATACTAATAGCACACTTGAATAAACCTATGCTTTTGTAAAAGAAGTGTCATTTATTGGAAAGAAAGACACAGATATACTTGATAAAGAGTTTGGTTGGTTTAGTAATGCTGAAACAGCAGATGCAGTGCTGAAGTTGAAGACAGTTTTGTGTTGGTTTGTGATTAGTTGGTAGTTAATGTGATTGTTTACACCTCTGACTTCATAAATGCACTAAATTCTCCAAAACACCTGATTCAGACACATTTGCAGATGGTTTAATATTTTGATCTAATGCAGTGTGTGTGTGTGTGTGTCCTTCACCTCAACAGTGTTATTGTGTGCTGAGTTTGGAAGGGTTTTAACCTTGGCCTCTCATAACCCAAAGAGTTCAAGCCAAGCATACAGGACATCAGATAAACCTGATGCAATAAATGCTGTTTACAGAGGCCAGTTAATAAGGCAGACAAACACAGCGTGAGAGAGAGAGAACCCCAGTAAAACAGTATTTTCCCTGTGCTCTCGCAGCACGTGAAGCCATCGTCAGCACACTGGAATAGACACCAGCACATGTTACACGCAGAGTGACTCATTGCTGTGCTCTTGGACACCCCAAAGTGTCTCGCAACCACAGAACATAATCTGTGAGTGTGAACGCAAATGTTTTTAGCTGCACCAGCTTGACTTCACACACTGCTGCCTTCCAAAAAACACTCGAGCACATACTGCAGTTTCAGTGGTGGCACAAGGGGCCTTAATGTGCTTAACTGTATTGAAACCCTCATGAATCAACATTTCTCACATTATCACAGTTTATTTGCTATAGTTTAGAAAATGGTAATACGATATGACAAGAACTTAAACTTAAAGAACAAATTCATCTTTGAATAACTTAGGTATGTAATGGATTACAATCAACCAAAAATTCGGACAACTGTTAGTATGACAATATTTACACAACTATCAAAACTTTGTTGACCAATTACCAAGCAATGCTTAATTTTGTTCAGTCTGTGGTGTAAAAAGGTCGCATTAGCAATGAAAGAAAAAACACTTTAAAGGGGTCATCGGATGCCCATTTTCCACAAGTTGATATGATTCTTTAGGGTCTTAATGAAAAGTCTGTAACATAGTTTGGTTAATTTCTCAGTGGTAGTGTAAAAACACCTCTTTTACCCTGTCAAAAACAGCTCTTTTCAGAGCAAGCCGTTTTGTAGCCTTTTCCTTTAAATGTTAATGAGCTTTGCTGACCCCGCCCCTCTCTTCCGAGCTGCTCTCAGAGAGACTGTTTACTTTAGCTGCATTCATTGTGAAACATGCTAATTAGCACATTATTAGGAAAGGCGATTTGCTCACAATTTTTGGTTCCACAAAGAACCATTCAGTCAAAGGTTCTGTAAAGATCCATCTCTTTCTTACCTTTTTGTAATCTGAAGAACCTTCTTTCGCCACAAATAACCTTTTGTGAAACAGAAAGGTTCTTCAGATGTTAAAGGTTCTTTATGGAACCATTTAGACAAAAAAGGTTCTTCTATGGCATCGTGAAGCACCTTTATTTTTAAGAGTGTAGGGTGTTTGCCAACTATCATCCCTCTTTGTCAATGATTTCATGAGAGGCTGATGTAACGGTATAATAACAGGCGTGTTTTTGGGATGGGACCAGAGTCTGTCTTTCTGCCTCTAAAGCCATCAACACTTGCTGATATGTTGTTCGATACTTTCGCTGACAGTCAAGCATTTGTCAGCAGCAGGTTAAGCATGAACCTTCATCACGAGAGCGTTTCTCCAGCGTCTCCTGAAGAGCCATGAGCTCACTGCATATTCAGTATCCTCCACCACAAATCAGCGCATTAGCCATATTACGGTGCATGTCGAGACAGATATGGATATTTCTCGTTTGCATAGTCTCAGCTCAGATTATTCTGTCAGAACAGGTTGTTGCACAATCATGCGGAATATATAATAACAGTTCGGACATCTGAAATCACAAAAGCGTGCATCTGGTTGTCAACCATCATGAAAAACCATAGAAGCAACAACAACAAACCTACAAAACGGCATCACGGTCTCTGTTGCTCGGATCTGCAGCGTGCTGGTCTACAATTGTTCAGATTTGGTGCTGGTCTGGGGTCAGGGTTGTGAGGTCACCTTTGTCACTGTCCCAGGAATGGATGAACGGTGGTGCCAACATGTGAGTAATGTAGGGCACACCCCTTGTTGTGACCTTTCACCCCGCCTCGCCCAGACCGAGCTGCCAGACTCCCATCAGTGTGCCAATTCATCTCAACATGTTTACTGGGCAATGCCCTTCTTCATCAGCCATCAAATCAGCTTTGAGTGTATGCAAACATGATGGATGAAGCATGTTCTCACAGGCACTGGGGAGATGACCTGTTTGTTTCAATCACTAAACTCATATGTAGAGGCTCGCTGGAGAGGCTCGAAGGCTCATGGGATGCAGGTTCTCGGTCTGAGGTTTAAAATGCTTTATTAGTCCAAAATCTGGAATCTGTTAACAGTGGAAATCAGACAAGCTCTTTTAAAGGCATCTCAACTTTTCATGTTAGTTTCTTGATTGAAACTCTGTCTATTTAATGCTTTCGTCTTCCATAATAATGCTATGAATTATCTTCACATCAAAAGCTTTCTCAGCAATAATTACGACATTTATTATTTTAATTAATTAATTAATTGGATTAAAATGGTATATACATTTTATAAAACAATTAATCTAAAAACATACACTACCATTCAAAGGGTTAGGGTTGTTATGACTCTTTAATGTTTTGAAAAAAAACATCAAGGCTGCATTTATTTGATCAAAAACACAGTAAAAAAATGTGAAATATTATTACAATTTAAAATAGCCATTTTCTATATGAATATATATTAAACTGTAATGTATTTCTGTGATGTGCAGCTGTATTTTCAGCATCATTCCTCCAGTCTTCAGTGTCACATGATCTTCAGAAATCAGTCTAATATGCTGATTTGCTGCTCAAGAAACATTTCTGATTAATATCAATGCTGAAAACAGTTGTGCTGCACAATATTTTTGTGGAAACTGTGATACATTTATTTTTTCAGGATACTTTGATTAAATAGAAAGTTCAAAAGCACAGTATTTATTTGAAATATAAATCTTTAGTAACATTATAAATGTCTTTACTGTTACTTTTGATCAAGTTAACGCATCATTGATGAATAAAAGTATTAATTTCTTTAAAAAACAAAAAATCTTATTGTCCCCAATTTTTTGAATGGCAGTGAACATACATAATTGATATTTTTTGTATGCCTGATTTTAAATACAAATGCAACAAAAATATTAAAGCTGCAAGCAGCGTTGAAAGGGCCCTTGCACCCAGTGGCTTTAGGAAAGCAGCGAATGGTCAGCAATATGCATTTAAAGTGGTAAATATAGGAGGAATATGTCAAAGTCATTTATATGTGCCAAACGTCCTGCTGCCAGCTGGTGGAGCTATGACTATAACTGAATATTGGCATGTTGATGCCTTTAAGCCAGCTCTTTTATCAAACATATGAAGCTTGGTGCAGATTGAACATGGTATGTTTGAGTTAGTGTAAAGCATGACGTATCCTGTTGCCAGCTATGATTATAACTGAACATTGTCCTTTAGATGTCTTCAGGCCAGGACTCTTACCAAACATGTGAAGTCCAGTGCAGATTGGACATTGCATGTTTAAGTTAGTGTAAAACAAGTAATTTCCTGTTGCCAGCAGGTGGCGCTATGATTGAATATGAACTGAATTCATATGAACTGAATATGAACTGAATATTTGCCTTCAGATGTGTTCAGGCCAGGACTCTTATTGAACATGTGAAGTTTGGGGCAGATCAGACATTGTATGACTGAATTATAACAACTTCCTATTTCATGGCGAAACATCAAAGTTCGCCACAGACACGGCCTCCAAGGAAAACTCAAGATCTTCGCAATTTAACATCACAAAGGACTTTAGATTACACTGACTAAATTTGGTGTTGATCTGTTTAAATCTCTAGGAGGAGTTTGTTTAAATACAACGCCTGAAAATGGCAAAAACGACACAAAACTTGCAGAGAAAATTCAAACTAACAGACTTCCCGTTGGGTTTTTTGTAGGTATTGGTGTGTTACATGTGCCTACCGAACTTCGTACATGTATGTGAAATGTAGCTCGAGTGGCACTTTGTTGAATTTTATAGGTGGCGCTATTGAGGCATTTTGCCACTCCCACTTCTGAAACCCATATCAGACGTAAATGTTCACCACTTCTGGTGTGTGTGCAAAGTTTCAGGAGTTTTCAATCATGTTTAGGCCCTCAAAAATGCAATTCATTTTGGAGAAGAAAAAGAAGAAACTGAGCAATTCCAATAGGGTCCTCGCACCTAACAAAATATATTATTATGATTATTATTACTATTGTTAAGGGAAGCTCAGGTCTTTAAGTGGATCTGGCAAACGGGAGAAGCAGCAGCAGCAGTGCAGTGTTTTCCCATCAGTATGAGCAGCTGTGTGTTTAGTGTGTTAACGACGGCACAGATGCAGACGCTTAGCAGGATTATAGTGCGTGATCTGCCTCTTACACTCAAGATATGTGAGAAACGGAGAAACTGAGCAAGAGTAGGAAACGGGGGAGAAAGAGCTGGATCTCACTGCCAAAGAAAACATCGCTACACTTGAGAAACAATCAGCGGAGCATCAGGCAGGTTTACAGGAGCTTCAGACACTTTAATGCTTTAAGAGCAGTTCTCAGAGACATGAGGAGTCTCTCTGTCAGCTGTGAAGACGGCTCTGTGCTGGACCTCGGGGATGCACCAAACCTGCTCTGTGAACTGAGATTCTGGCAGAGCTGATGTGAGCGTCATTCTGTGTCTAGCTTTCCAAGCCATTGGACATTGTTGGTAATTAGTCTGCCCTGGAGTCTAGCTGCACTAGGCTTGATAATCGAGACAAAAACGTGCTCTGCATGACACTGCCATGGAGACGCTTCTAAAACATCTGATGATGGACATGAGAAAACATGAGCAGTGAGGTTTAAAACCACACACACACACACACACACACACACACTGAGATCTGCTGCAGTGACACGAGATCAGACAACATCTGTGCCTTGTGTCAAATACCTGCAACCAATCATAACCATGTGGTAACTAGCATGAGAATAAAAAAAACTTTATAATAGCATATAAAAGCATGATAAAGGTATGTAATTTAAATGGTTGGTTTGTGGTGTTTAATATGAAATTTTTACATTTGTAAATATAACATTTTTAAAATTTTAAAATTCATATTAATTAAAAAAAATTTCATATGGTGGCCGAGAGAGCTCAATGTGCAACAACTTCAGAAAACACATGCAAATAGAAAAAGTACCAGCAAATTAAGAAATACATACATATATATATTAGCTAATGAATCCTATGATCAGAAAAAATTTTGTTTATTTGAAATATATAGTCCAGTCATGAAACTCTAGATGGCGCCGGTGACGGGTTGTTAATGTAACTGATGATATTCAGAGAGTTAAACCACTTGGCTCAATCTGATTGGTTCATGCAGCATATGCAGCCAATGAGCTTACTGCCTTGCATTTATATGGCTGGCTAGCATTCACTAGAGATTCCTGCAGCGCGCTTTCAGAGTTTCTCTGAAACCCTCCACCTTCCCAGCTCCACCTGTATAGATCTGCTACGGGGTTATTTTATGTTATTTGTGCAGCAGCAGCATGTCTTAAATACTCACACCGTATCGCCATATGCATTGGCAGTAGCAAGTTCCTGTACTTGCTTGCAGCAGCAGCAATAATCTACAACTACAGCAATAACCAGCAGCAGCAGCGTAGCAGATCTGTTCTGCCAAGACCAAATACATTAACATTGTCATATCCATCACCATGCTAAAATCTTCCGAGAGTTGTCATGATTGAAATCAAGTTAAACTAAATGAAAATAAGAAAGGTTGCCTAGGTAACTAGGTTAATGTCAATGTTAATAATTATTTCCTTTCCTTTCCTTCATTTCAGCTATGTCAAGTAACAAAAACTTTGTAAATTGTTTTAGTTTTAGTTAACCATAATATCCCTGATTTGAAGTACTAAAATAACTGAAACTGAAATGAAAATGAATTAAATATAAATATATATATAGTATATATTAAAAAACTAAGAAAAGTGATACAAGCTCATAAATTACTAAAACTGAAATATATACAGATAAAAGCCAAAACATTAATAAATACTACAACAGTTTATAAATGATACTACATTAACACTGGTTTCTTTCTCTAGACACGTCTCTCTCAGTGTGTGAGCAGATGAGAGGAGGTCAGTGACGGCGTTACCTTGCGGGACAGGGCTGTGTGTTACAGGACGTCACACCGGTGGACGGCCGAGATCGCGAGTTACAGTAAGACGTGTTCACCTGCAGCCTCAGATCCTTATAGCAGACTGCTTTACTGACCATCTGACCTGAGGAGCAAACACAAACAACATATACAAAACTCAAATCCCCTGATGAACTGACATAAGCTGGAAATCATCATGAACACTACTTCATCGTGAAGAAACTTCAAGGTATTTGAGCTGAAGAAGCAGTTTTCCAGATGGAAACAGACCTTACGGACTCACCTGAGGCTCAGCTATAGAGTTACACCTGCACAGACCAGCAGATACGCTTGAGAAACACACAACAATGCTGTTGAGTTTCACTCAGATCATTTAGACTGATTTTGGATGCATGTGCACTGATATGCAATTAATGAAAAAAATGCAACAGGTTTTACAAAATCCCTTGTAAAAAAGAAATGAATGCACTTATGGAAATAAGACACTTTAAAAGAATTACAGTTTTTCTCCATTGCTAACACACTATAACTGTTTAATTTGGCACAGTTTTCCAAACCATTCATACAGTTCTCGAAACAAAGACACGTTTCTCAAAACTTTGAACACATTTCACCTGTTTTCACACATGCTCCAATTTGCTCAGTGTTTTCTGCAAAACTCTACACAAGAACGGCATCATTTTGCAGGTTAACCATGCTCTCATTTAGAAGATGCAAACCCAAAATATAACTACCACACAAATAGCACACATTTATCCATGTGTGAACATTAAGTAGCAAAACTGATGACACACCAGTCATAATCTCAGGATGATATGAACGAGAATGCACAGAAAGTATTTTGTCAGATTAAGAAACTGCTATAGTATGCACTTAGTACCAATATTGTAATGCAACTTGTCAGAGGATGCTGAATTTATTAATTGTATTTTATTTTTTACAGTAACTGACACTATATTCCAGTGTGTGTTTACTGTAGATTCTGTTGTTTGGTTTTTGAACTTTTCTCTTCTAGTGCTTTTGTAATCTACTGTAAGATCACTTTGCATTAGTGTAATGAAAGTAAACTTTTCTTTAAGTTTATTGCTGAATTTTACTGTATCTGCACCACTCTATTTATGTCGTATACTGTAACATACATTGACTAGCAAACGGATTCCTGTTTCCCAAAAGGAGGTTTTTGTAACAGTGTTTTGAATTGATCTCACTAGTGTTCTCTATGCAGGAAAGTAGTGTGTGTATTTGACAGGTTTTGTGTCATCTGAGGCCAAAGTTTGAGTCTGACAAAAGAGAATGTGTTTTTGACTAAAATGTTTGACTTTGACCTGGAAGTTTGAAGTTTGCACAAGTTGGTGTGTAGTTTTGAGATTGTGTTTATAGTTGTGAGAAAGTGGTGAAGTGTTTCATGAATTGCGTGTTAGCAATCGAGAAAAACTAATAAATCATTCAGACTGATTTTGTGAACTGGATCGAATGATTGATCATTGAAAAGGTCTGATTCACAAGAAGGATTTGTTGACAAATCTGCTTCTCTCATAAACTCTCATGAATGAGCTAGGATGGATTTCTAGATTTTCATTGAATAACAATTTAAAATGCTAGCGATGCACATGGGTTTGATTTCAATGGAATGCATGCACTGTTGAAATGCAATACGTTGAATGCAATGCAAGTTGCTTTGGATAAAAGTATCTGCCAAATGCATAAATGTAAATATGTCACTAAAACTAAAATTTTGATTCAGGTTTATTTTCTACATATATGCTTTTTATTTTGAATATCCGTAAATTTAATCAGCACAAGAGCTTGAGCTGGACCAGAATCACAGACCGCCAGAAGATCTGTAGCAGTAATGTCTGGCCTACATTTGCTACTCGCAGCAGGCTGTGTTCAGACTGATCAGTACCTCCTGCGCAGCTGGTTGAGCACTGCGAGCGAACGATGGCCCACGTGTAGTTGTGTTTGGGCTGGTTGCGTCGCTCTGTATGGTCTTTGGTCAGTGTGAATTCCCACTGAATGCCCGGATTCCAGCCCTGCATGAGAACCTGTGCAAGGACAAACACACAAGACCTAATGAACCATCAACCACACATGAAAACACAAAACCATTCTTCTTTAATTCTTGAGGACGACGAGTACACTGACTCTGTGTTACGACAGAGCGCTGCCCACATGCTGCGTCCAATGCTATCAGAACATTCTGCATTTAACACAGTCAAGAAGGTCGTTTTAACCGTAATTCCATTTTGTAGAGTAATACAAATAGTTTACAGCTGCTTGATATGAGAGTCAGTAACATATAAATATCAACAAAGGAAAGATCTTTTAAAAATTGAAGTAAATAAAAAAAACCCTTAGAAGTGAACTGTTTTATGTTGGTAGTTCATGTTAGTTTCCTATCATTAAGTTTTTATAACATTTTCAAGTTTGAATTTAGCAACTTTAACAATGTCATGTAGTGGTTTCTAATATTCTTAAAACTTTTTTGGCTTGTAAACGGTGCTTGAGCTGTGCAGATTTCTCTCCTGTTTCAGACCAGACCACTTTTTCACACCGGAGGAACCGTTATTATGGATTATGGATTTTGGTATTTTAGCCGGAAGCAAGGGTTTGAAGTTAAAGAGGTCATGACATGGACTTTTTTCCCTTGTCAGTAATTGGCCACTGTTATGATTGGCTAACGCCTTTGCATAGTGTCACAATCTCTAGCTGGAGTACCCATCTAGAGGGCACTCCATCCCATACCTCTGATATTCATTCTGGGCTCCATTTCCCAGATATCCTCTGCCTAGGAACCAATTACAGACTCCACCCATTTCCCTTCAGGAGGACTATTTAAGTCAGACAAAGCATTTTGAAATTATATACTTATTGTTTGTGATGCAGCTGCAGTCAGATCTAGTACCGCTTCATCTTTCAACAAATGTGTCTTTGTGACTCTCCATGACACTGTGCCTCGTTTACAAAACAAAATGCTCCGATCAATCCTCTGACACGATCCAGGGTGCCATTAAAAATAAAGTATCCACTTGTTCCTTACGCTGGGATCCTTCTGATAGCTATCTATACAAAGACGCGAACGAGCTGTTTAAACCAAATGCGTCAGTGCGAATGTTCTTTCACTCCATTTGTCCTATTGACAGACTTGAGCGTGGACTGTGAAAGTGAAAGTGAACGCACATCTGTTTACTGTATCCAGTGCAGACAAGATAGCGGCAGTGATCGTAATTTGTGTTTGTTTTTGATGCAATGCGACACTTGCTTTCAGCGTGATCAACGGTGCGTTCCAAACGGGATATATCGCCCTCTAAAGGGCACATCGGAGTGAAAACAATCATGACCCCCATACTGAAGGGTCGTTCCAAACCAAAGTGCTCAAAACTGGCCACTTCAAAGAGCCTTTCGGAATGAAGGATTTTGAAGGGTACAACTGATGGACACTTCAGCCCCCCATGATTCTTTGCGCTGATTCTTTGCATGATGACGGCGTCTCCATATGTGCATGACGCAGAAGGGCACTTCAAGAAACAGTTGTTTGGTCCCCTACACCCTTCAAAGCTCTCTGAATGGTAAACCCTTTGAAGGGATTAGGGCATAGGGATGAGCCCTTCCGAATGGAACGCAGGGTATGTGTCAGCCCTTAAGCGAGTGAACACCAGTGGGTGGGGCCTATGCTAAGAAGACGACTATTTATCGATGTCTTGCTCTGGAAGCATGTTTATTAGGGATGGGAAGATTCCCCGATTCATTCGGTGCATCGGCATAAAAAGTTAACGATGAGATGCATCAGTTTAAAAAGTGTGTATCGGCTACAAGTCGGCATTTGTATCGCGATGTATCGTTTCTAACATATTTGCGTCTGTAAAAACCGATTTATTTATATATAATTACTAGTGGATGCGCTATAATTGTATTGTTTAGAAAGTGACCAATAATCTGTGATCTATGTATTTGTTTGTCAAGCGCGTTCTCTCATCACCGCTGCTGTGTGAATATGAAGAATCACAACACCACGGAGACCCGAGAAAAAACTGGGATTAAAGTCCAAAACTTGACTTGAAATAACCTAACAAATCAATCGGGGCTAAAGCGGTTCCATAAACGACAAATTAAGTTCACACAATCTCACTCATTTGTGCACGCTTATTCTTAATCAAATCGATCCACCATGGCAAACAGCGAATATATTTGTGCTGTTTAATGCATTTGAGACGTTGTGTTTTCCTCAGTGCATAACTGACATGTCACAGGTTTAATTTTTATCAGTAAATGTTAGAAAGTCATGCAAATATATCCCTTTTGCTGTCAGGAGTGGGCGAGGCTGACGCGAGTGAAAGAGCGCTGCTGTGCGCATGCGTGCTAAACAGGCAGAGCGCAATCGAATAGGAGCGCAATTTTAAACCTTCATATAAGTGTATTTTGATGATAGCAGTAACTGTAAAGAGACTATTGTAATGGGTAAATCAAATGTAAGCTAGTTGAGTAGCTAATTACTAAGCTCAAATGAGTTAATGTGTGTTTCTTAAAGCAGCTAAAATATAGTCATTTTCTTTATTATTTATTTTCGTTTTAATTAAGTGATTTTAACTTTTAATTTAGTTATCTGAATGCTTTAAAGAGCAATTTTAGATTGTAATGTTCTGCTATCTGTTCTGCAAATGTACAGCTGTCATAAAACCAGAGAGAGCCTTTCTGTTTGGCTAGAAACTGTAAAAAAAATGTCAAATAATAGCGTTCCTATTGGTCAGTGTTAGAGGAACTCAGCTTAGTCTGATAGTTCACCTGCTTTAGACCAGGTTGAAGTTGATCTATGTTAAATTTTCTTTATGGAACCAAATCATTTGACAATGAGTCAGACTAACTGAAATAAGCCTGGCTTATTTGGTAAACTTGTTTTATGAAACAGGCCTTGAGGCATTAAAAGTGATCATATTTTTTCCATTGCATCGTATTGCATCGAATCGCATTGTGTTGAATCGAATCGAACCAGAATCGCACTGCATCGTAACAGGGGTGAATCATATCGCATCGCATCGGTAGCTGCTTCAAATGTATCTTTAATGTATCGTATCGTTGGCTATGCATCGAGATGCGTATCGTATCGGCCTCAGACATGAGATGCACATCCCTAGTGTTTATGCAAACGACTGCGCCCGGGTGACGACACATTGTCCCATTGGATCCAAAACGAGCCGTTTTTGGAGCTTGATTAAATCAATGCTTTGTTTATATTGAGGAGAACATTTTAAGCTATGAAACTTGCAGGATGTTTTAATGGTACAAAGAGATAAAAAATATATATTTTGAAAATAACTATATTTTTTAAATGTAAATAATGTGTTATTTATTGCTATTTTCTGGATTACATAAACTGTTATTTCATAGGTAAGTTCCTTAGGAGTGACTTATAAAGTTTGTATATCGGTGATATATAAAGTTTATATATCAATTTACCTTGTTTGCAAGTACTTGTTAGAAGAAGCAGTCGAGCAGAAGAATGATGAGTAGTAAGGCGTGGCCAGCTGAACTCAATTACGAGGAATCAGAGGAGTATATATTTGCTTAGTACACCGCGGCGGTGACCCCTGACAAAAAACCCCTGACAAGGCAAATTTGATTTCTCATGTCATGACCCCTTTAAAACAACTTAATGCTGGATTAGTTTCAGCTTTTGTCTTCTCCAGATGTTAACTGATGGACTGGAGTGCTGTGGATTATTGTGATGTTTTTATCAGCTGTTTGGACTCTCATTCTGACGGCACCCATTCACTGCAGAGCATCCATTGCTGAGACACTGATGCAATGCTACATTTCTCCAAATCTGATGAAGAAACAAACTCATCTACATCTTGGATGGCCTGAGGGTGTGTGCATTTCCAGATAATTTTCATTTTTGGGTGAACTATTTCTTTAATAAGGTTTTCTTTTAATAAATGTCATCTACTAGTCATTCACTAACCGCTTACTAGCACTTATTTTGTGCCCAGCAGCATTCATCTTGATTACATCAAGACTTAAGTGCATAATTGTGAGATGAGATGCATGCTTTACACAATACAGCAGACTCTGGCAAGCAGTAATATGACACACCAGCCAGAGCTCTCATTAGACAGAGCCAATAAAGCAGAGCCCATATGCCTTATAACACAGTAGCACAGTAAAAGTGAATACATAGAAAAACAAGTGTTATTTTAAAAACTAGTGTTATTTTTTATTGTATCTGGCCGGTTATGCAATTATGGAAGATCAAAAAAGTTACAGGCAACTACTACCTCAACCACCAGTGTCTCATTGGTGGGTCCAGTGGAGGTGAGGCTCTCAGGACGATTGTAGGGTCTCTTGTAGTCAAAAACAGCCCCAGCGATGGAGTGTCGTCCAGGCCAGTCCACTGTCCAGCGTCCATTCAGGTAATACTTCTTCTGCAGATTCCTCAGTGCCAGATAAGAGCTGGAGGAGTTGAGCTCCATCACACGGATGCTGCGCGCTCCAGCCGGTATGGTCACCACACGGTAGTACTCTACACAAGAGACAGGGCAGAAATGATAAAAAATATATATTTTGAAAATAACTATATTTTTTAAATGTAAATAATGTGTTATTTATTGCTATTTTCTGGATTACATAAACTGTTATTTCATAGGTAAGTTCCTTAGGAGTGACTTATAAAGTTTGTATATCGGTGATATATAAAGTTTATATATCAATTTACCTTGTTTGCAAGTACTTGTTAGAAGAAGCAGTCGAGCAGAAGAATGATGAGTAGTAAGGCGTGGCCAGCTGAACTCAATTACGAGGAATCAGAGGAGTATATATTTGCTTAGTACACCGCGGCGGTGGTCGAGGCAGCCCTCGTGTGAAGACCGACGAGTGTAACGACTATCGACTCTACCTTGCGTGACTCCACCGAGCAAGAACACCGACAAGGCACTTGAGTATTGCTTTTTCCCCCCTTTCTTTACCTTTTGTTTAACTTGTTCTCATCTACTTGTTCTAGTCAATTGTACTCAACATGTGCTTTCAAATCTCTACTATTACTACTAACACTCGTAAATCACGCATTGTACGTTGGAGGCAGCGCAATCCTAATAATCTGCGTACTGTCCCTATGTCCTCTACTACTTTACTCTCTATTCCAGTTGGTCTCTGGAACTGCCAGTCTGCTGTAAACAAAGCAGAATTGATTTCTTCTATTGCTACTCATTCAAGTCTCGACTTCATGGCCCTAACTGAGACTTGGATCAAACCTGAGGACACTGCCACTCTTGCAGCCCTCTTCACTAATTTCACTTTTTCCCACACCTCTCGCCCGATTGGGAGGGGCGGAGGGACAGGTCTACTTATTTCAAAATAATGGAAATTTGATAGTCTACCATCTCTTACTGGCAACAGTTCATTTGAAATCACATGCAATTACTATTACCCACCCTGTTACAATCCATTTTGTAGTTATTTATCGTCCCCCAGGTCAACTGGGTAACTGGGTACTACTCGTTGACTTTAACATCCACCTAGATAAACCACAGGCTGCTGACTTCAACACTCTATGTAGCATGTGTCTACTACAGCTACTCACAAATCAGGTAAGCAATTGGACCTTATCTACACACGCTACTGCTCAACTGAAAACACTGTTTACACCGTTGCACACCTCAGACCAGTTCCTCGTCACTTCTAACCTCATACTGACTCCGGACACAACACGCACTCCTCCACAACGTCACCTTTCGGCATAGCCTACGCTCAATCTCTCCCACTCGCCTATCCTCTATGGATTCATCCTCACACAAATTTAGTCAAATCTCGAATAACTTACAAAATGAAGCTGAAATTGATTAAATTAATTTGATGATGAATGAAGTAATGGAAATATATATATTGCCATGACATTATAGCCATTCAGCATTACAGTATACAAATATATAAAATGGTTTTATGTGTCATTTTTTAACAATTACAGGACATTAAAACTAATATAATAACTTTTAATTTAAGTGAATTTAAACCAATATTCACATAAACCCATTATAATAAATGTGGCATTTAACTGTGCTAAACGATGTGGGGATTAGCACAGCTATTTTAGGAAGAGAAAAAGTGAATAAAATAGCAAATGTAATTGCAGAAATTAACATGTTATTTTTCCCATCTCTAATTAGAATGGTGTTCATAGAGTAAAGACAGACACGTACGGCTCAGGTAATGTTGTTTGGTGTTTTGCCCTTTGTAGATCTTGCAGGTGGAGTTGTTGCCCTTGCAGACGCCACACAGATCCGGCACGGCATTGGATCCCAGCACCCTGTCACAGCCCACTCTCTGGAAAACACAAATCAGGAGCTCTCAGCAAGCACAGAAGCAGCAATAAAGCACTCGTAATCATCATTCCAGTTACAATAGTTCAGTAAAATCAGACAAAAAGTCACGAGAGACGAGGAAGTGCCTCCATGGAGCTGTGATTGGCCGATGATGTTGTCTGTGTATGAATGCACGTGTCCGCAAATTGGCATTAATGAGTCAAAATGGTGGAAATGAATGGGTTAATTATAAAGAAAGCAATTCACCCGCTCAGATATCAGCATTTTCTGTGATGTCCAAATCAAATCAAACTTAAAATAATAATCTGAGCTGTTTTTTGTGACTGCCCACCATCATTAAACATTCAGAGTTTACCAAGGACTAAAAACCCAAAACCAGACAGGGGATTTAGACTACTTATTTCAGAAGACCACCACACACCACTGCTACACAAGCTCACGTGTAAATATGTTGTATTAATAAAGAGCTACAAGATGCTCCAAACTTGAAAGATAATCTTAGAGAAAGAAACACAAGAAGGTATTAATTTCAACATGCATGTCCAAATACACACAGATCAAATGCTCTCAGCTGAAAAGCATGTCCATGTTCAGTGTGTAAAAATGTTCTTTGTCTAATGTTTTCAGTGCAAACTACTTATGTCATCGGCTCGAGTATAATCTAAAACATGAAATGACAAATGATTCCGATGATTCATCATTACTGCTTATTTAAACTAAATCCGCGGAACTACAATTGTTCTGGTCCACTGCAATTTGTCACTATTTCATGCTAACATAATTTCTCTTTTAATTTAACAGCAGATTTTAAATGTTGCCAGAGAAACGCAGCAGCTGAAGTTAAATTTAATTGAACTAAATAGTAGTTGGCTCTTTCGCCGCAAACATCCAAACACGCAATATGAAACTGATGTGTGTTCTGAAGGAAAGTCTTTAGAAAGATGTTTTTTTCTGAACCAAACTGAGATGAAATGCATTTAATCACTTTGCCTCTCAAGAGGGATTTCCACAGCAGAAGAAAACATAAAAGCAATCATTGAGAGAATTCACTACAGATGAATCCTCTTGAAAATCTCTGGTTTTGATGATAACACACACTGTGTCAGTAGTCCATTACCAGAGAAAAACAAAACAACCAACAGCATGATGCTTTTATAATATGTAGCTATGTATTACACAACTCAACAAACCACTGGACAGAGAATACCTACACGCATAGGTAAAGAATATTTAGCATTCAACACATTTTCAGCTGAAAGTTACTTACACCACATTACTCAGTTACTTTCAAGTAACTAGACTAAGGCCAGACAGTACTGTATCTACCAGTGTTGGAGAGTTACGGAATCAGATTACTTTTTTCAAGTAACAAGTACCACATTACTTTTTAATTTACGTGAAAATATCTGAGTTACTTTTTCAAATAAGTAACGCCAGTTGCTTTGTTTCCCATGTATTGACTGACAGCTCTCTTGCCTCCGTGTTGCGAGACATCGGGAGTAAGTGCAGTCGTGTGCGCTGTGTAAAGATGATGTCTCTGTAGTTCTAGCTAGACTAAGTGTCAACATGCATTTACTCATCTCACCTGCACAAAAAACAGATTCAGTATTCCTCAAAATTAATAAAAGCAGTCAAATGCAAACCTGAAAACATTAAATGTTAACACAAACATTCTTTATGCACTTAATCCCATTTTATTAATCAGAGTCTTTAATGTTGTAAAAATGACTTTAGATAAACATAACATTTGTGTTTCTTTTTTTGTGATTGAGATGAAAGTGTTGAACTTTCTTTTTCTGTGTCCTTTTCTTCATGCAATCCAGAATGGCAGCACAGCTGAAAGGTTTGTTTGAGCTTTTAAATTGCCATTTTTCTCAGCCTAAGGCTTATTCATTTCACTTTTTGTGTGAAAGGGCTTTTACATTAGCCTAAAATATAACTTTTTTATGTTAAAAACAAACAAGCAAGCCCAGGCCAGAAGAGAAAGAGTAACACAAAGGTTACATAACGCATTAGGCTGCTTTCCACAAAACGTAATTAAATAATGCAATTAGTTACATTTTTAGGGACCAACAGAATATTGTAATGCATTACTTTTAAAAGTAACTTTCCCCAACACTGGTATCTACATGTATAATATCTACAGAGACAGTGACTTAAGACCTCAGGTTATGCAGTATATTTGCATTGTGTCAGAATTAAAATATTGTGAATATTGTACATTACCTCACAAATGCCATCAATGCAGACATCGGAGCTGTCCTGTGTGCAGAGCGTCCCATCCTTGACTTTACTGGAGAGGGCGAAGAAGAAGTCATAACCTTCAGCGAAGCAGTAGAGCTTACACACGTCCTGATCTGGAACAACACATACACACACACACACAAGGAATATCAGGCATAGTTCCCTAAAAACACACGTCCTATAACCTGTGGACAGTAAATTCAAAAGTATTCACCCCCATGGGTTTCTGCTCTTGTGACATTCCGAAATTCAAGCATATTTACATAGGATATCTATCTTAATTGATTGGTTTGACCAGCCTAACTTGTGTAAACTATTCAATTACACTAGGAACGTAAACTCTGAAATCAAGCAAAATATGGTAACCAGGTACAACTGTGTTGCTTTCAAATCCATCTGTGTTCAATTGTCTGAAAGCACACCAAATTTCACTGACTCAGTGAGTCTCACAACTAATGAAGCCCGAGGAACTTTGAGATCAAGCTGCAAGGAGGAAAACAGCTGGAAATGGTTACAGAAAGACTGACAAAGCTCTGGATCTTCCTAGAAGCACTACAAACTCTTTCCCAGCTCAATCCCTTCATTAACTCGCTTTAAAATCAGAGGGAAAAACTGGTCGACAAGACTGTTGTAGAAGCCCCATCCCCATTCTAAACCATAATAAGTGCTTTTTTTTGATGAGTATCAAACGTAGTTTTTCACAATGGTAATCTCAACCCAAAATCCTAAAATCTGTTTAAAATAATTGTTGATATGAAATGTGATTCCAGAAGCAACAAGAATATGGATCCAGCAGCATTTCCTAATTGGGCAAGTCATCAAGAATGGAAGAAATGGCAGAATCATGCATCGGGATTGTTTTTAAGGAGGAACTAAAAGGCTTGTTTCCATTAATGCCAACATGGATGAAGCCAAATGCAGAAAGACACTTCATGAGAACGTGCTCAGTCATCCAACGATCTGCATTAAGTGTGAAGATCCAATGACCGAAAGCACATGGTAAAAACTATGAAATAGTTTGAAATACATCAGATTTGTGATAGAACCTGATCCAACTTTATCAACCTAATTCACAAGACATCAAGACACTTTGTGCTGAAGAATAGAGATTCCAGTCATACCTGCGTGAAGATGCATGACTGTAATCATTTCTAAAGGACCGCGTATAAACTAATGACGTTAAAAAACGTCTTTCATTTCAGAGACATAAATGTGTTGAATTTATTGTGTGGTGGAAGGAAGACACATTTTCCATGTGTTACAATTTGGAGGAGTAACAGAAACCAAATGTGAAAAATTCAAGGGGGTGAATATTATGAGGAGGCTGAACATACTTCACTTCAGTCTAACTTCATAAACATAAGACAATGAATGTTTTTACCCAGATTTTTGCCAAATGCACTGGCTCATTTCTTTCGAAACATCCCCTCAGCCGATAGAAATACACGTTTATACCAACCGTCCACGCGTGTGTAGGGTTTCCACTTGTAGTGCCATCCGCGGAAGGGTTTGTTGTTGAACTCGGCGCACTGGGCAGCTCTGAAGTCCACGGCGTTTTGAGGACAGTCAGCGGTGTTACACAGTTTATAAGAGCGAGACGAGCCCTCGCAAAACCTGCCGCCATACATGGGCCTGAGAGAGAAGAAAAGACGTGAAAAGAAACTGATCACGAGACGCGTCTTGATTTACAGCAACAGCAACTTCATTCAGTCACTCATGGTTGCCAAGCGGCTGTAATGTTTGTTGTAGTAGTGAGATGCATTGCCAATTAAATTAAGATGTCATTCTATTTTGACGAGGAATCCATTTTCTTGCCGCTTAAAATTACATTTCTGCAGAGCAAAGTGTTTGTATATAAAGTGCAGCAGCGCATAACGCATCTTATGATGAACGAGATGAGTGGTTATCAGAGCATGAATCAAACTCTCTCACAATGCCAGCAATTTTCCATGCAGCAGTTTTTATTATATTCCTGCTTGTGGGAAATGAAAAATCAAGTAGAACTACAGTATTGCACAGGATCACACACGTATCCCAATGTCTCCATTTCTGTTAGCTTTCCTTCTTCTATAGAGAGTTTCATGGCATAAGACTCAGAAGATTGGCTGAACATATGTGTTTCCATGAGCAAAGAGGAGACTTCAAAACCATACTTCTGAAGAGTTTTGTGCTTGCCTTGAGATAAATGGGAATGCTTTAGTAGATTGGGAATTACAGAGATTCTCGGTTCAAACCAAGTCTGAAATATTCTCTAACTCTTTGTTTGTATCAAAACTCTTCAATTTTTTGTTATAAATAAATAAATAATACACATTTAAATCAGCCTAAAAATGTACACTACCATTCAAAAGACTGGGGTTGGAAAAATACGACTTTTGCTCACCAACTCTGCATTTGTTCGATCAAAAATACAGTAAAAACAGTAAACATGTGAAATATTATTACTGTTTAAATCAGCTGTCTTCTATGTGAATATGTGTTAAACTGTAATTTATTTCTATGATTCCAGCTGTATTTTCAGCATCATTACTCCAGTCTTCAGTGTCACATGATCTTCAGAAATCAGTATAATATGCTGATTTGCTGTTCAATAAACATTTCTGATTATTATCAATGTTGAACACAGCTGTGCTGCCCAATATTTTTGTGGAAACTGTGATAAAATTTATTTTCAGGATTCACAGATGAATAGAAAGTTCAAAAGAACAGCATTTATTTGAAATAGAACATGTTTGTAACTTTATAAACATCTTTACTGTCACTTTTGATCAATTTAATGTGCCCCTGATGAATAAAAGTGTAAATTAAATGTTTTTAAAAATCTTACAGACTCCAAACTTTTGAATAGTAGTGATTCACTGCAATAAGATAAAACAACAAGAAATAATTAATTGAAGAAAAATGAAGGATCTTGCACACTTTTTCATTTCAAATGTTACATGATTGTAAAATCAATTCTTCCAAAGGGTACAACTCAACACTTGCATTTCATTTGCTCTGCATCCAAGAAAGGATTAATATAGGATCTAAGCCTTTCTTGGATATGGAGCAAATTAATTTCAAGTATCGAGTTCGAGAAATGATTGCAATGTTTTGTTTAAAATCCTGTTGAGCATGATTTTCACGTCAACAACTTGAATTTGCTGTGAAGAGAACCCTCTCATTTGATTTGTATTGCCTGTACTGCATGTACCTGGGGCTGCTGCAGTGTCTCTCTCTGTAGGTCACTCCACTCTCACAGCTTCTCGAGCAGCTGGACCAGAAAGACCAGGATGTCCACTGACCATGAACCGGCTTAGGACCTTCATCCCCCTGCTTTACACACTGACCCCGCCGACACCACTGCAAACACACACACATCAGTCTGAGAGCGATAATGGTCTTCTTTACAGTTAAAGGGACAGTAAACCCAAAAATAAAGATTCTGTCAGCATTCTCTCACCTTCCAAAACTGTATGAACACAAAAAGTGATTTCTTAAAGAACATAATTTCTGATCTTTTCCATACAGTAGTTTAATGAATGCAAATATTCAAAATGACAAAACAAACACAATAAAAGTATCATAAAAATTGTTCATATGATGCATTCACTATATTTAACTCTTTCCCCGCCATTGACGAGTTATCTCGTCTTTTAGAAGAAAACGCTTCCCCGCCAAAGACGAGTTTTTACGGCTTTACGTGTTTTCACTGTTATGCACTCGGGGGCGCTATTACGCATCTTCTGAACGAGTACAAAACTTGAACAAAAAAACACACGTGAACAGGACGGAGAAACGAGCCATCTCTATGTAAACAGATGCATATGAAAAATAATGCGATCATCAGCAACAGACAGCATATAAATGAAAACTGCATAATGTTACGGCGTAACATGTTGATCCAGGAATATGTCTGTGCAAGCTTTGGAGGTGTTGATGGAAGCGATTTACTGGATTTATGCTTTGATAATCGTACTGAATATTATCCAGTTCTAGCTTTTGATAAAAATTAAATTTTCTCACCTTTTTGCTCAAAATTATGAATTTTTATGAAACCTACCTATATTCAAGTGTTTATAAAAAAAGTATAAAACAGATTTTTTTTTGTTTAAAAGTAGAGGCTCTGATCTTTATTTTGGTGTATTGTATATTCAAATATTCATACAGCAAAATATACTGGAGGCCATCAGATTTGAGTGACTTTTTTCAAAAATGCTGGCGGGGAAAGAGTTAATGTCTGCTGGAGTCACGTGACACTCTGTATGAGGAACAGACAGAAATTCAGTCATTAGCTGATAATTGACTATTAGATCCCATTGGTCTCACATGCCTCGTGACCAAAAAAGTCATACATGCTGCATTATTGAGAGTGAAGCGCAGCACTGATCATTTACACGTGAGCAGCTCACTGTTTTCAGCATCTCGGATCGTCTCGGTTCACAGTAAATGCTGCTTCACATGAACTCCATCTGCATCTGCTCTGAGTTTGAGTCGCTTTAACATGCATTTACATTTAGCTATTTAGCAGATGCTTTTATCCACAGTGACTTACAAATGAGGACAATGGAAGCAATCAAAATCAACAAAACAGCAATGATACGCAAGTGCTGTAACAAGTCTCAGTTAGCTTAACGCAGAACACGTAGCAAAGCTTTTTATTAATTATATAATAAATTAAAATAAAACGGATAGAATAGAAAAAGAAAAGAGCAAGCTAGTGTTAGAGGCCTTTGGAAATGCAACATGCACCAACTATCTCCACATTGCCACATCAACAGCGGTTTTCCATCAAAAATAAAGTTCAACGGTTTGCTGTAATTTAACAGTTGTAATGTAAAATATAATAATAATAATAATTATTATTATTATTATTGTTGTTTCTTAAAATCGTTTTATTTTACAGTGGAATTTTACAACTATTATTTTTAAATAATCTTTTTTATTGATATATGATCACAAAATGTCTTGCCAAATTGTACAGCCCTTCAAACAAACACAGCAAATCTGGATTTTTTTAGTACATTTTTAAATTTAAGTTTTTATGAGAAAAATCGCCCCCCAAAAAGTGCAGCCCTGCATAAAATAGTGTGCATGAGTCACGCATTATGATGCTTTTTTGTCATCACTGAGCTGAACAGATTCAGTCTTTCAATTTTAATGCAAGGGCATTTTTCACAAATTCTGTGTTTAACTGAAGGACATTTGGAAAGGCCTCGAAGAACATGAGAGTGTGAAAATTACTAATTGAATGGTCCAGCTTCACAGATTCATTTTAATTCCCATCAGGCAGCAATTCCATTGCACTTTGCGAGAGGTTAAAGAGTGAATGAACGATAGTCCCGGTCCAGCGCTCTTCACACCCTGTGTGTAACTCAAGCCGAGTCTCTGGCTCATGTGACGGAGCTGATGTTTCCTAAACGCAGATGGGCAGGATTCCTAGAGGAGACCGTCATCATTAGCGCTGCGTACCGTCACTGGCTCTAACTCGGATTAAAATATATAAATACGGGACAGCAGGACTGTATCTAACACGACGCTGTCTGACGAGGTTCAGACCGGCAGTGCAGATTCATTTTTAGTGTATCTGGCACCTCCTTTAGTTGCTCAAACAGCAAAAAATCCACTTAAAATCTGATTCAAGTGTTTGGATGAGTTAAAGATTGAGGGGTCTGAGATGACAGACAGACCCTAAATGAGGTCTAGAAACAGTTTTCTGAACTGCATTCATATTCATTTTCACTCATTTTCTCGTATAAAAGGAGTACACTTTAACATACTATAAAAAGAGTGCTTATGACGGAAATAATATACTTAAGTGCGAACGGAATGTAATATTTTCGGAGAATCAGTTGCATGGTAATTGCAATTAATATGTATAATAGTCTAAACGTAAATCTAAGTGTTATAATGAATGCAATTTTGACTCACTTAGTGCTTTTTTCGACCCACTTAAGTACATATTTTTATGTAATTTCATAATGACTTCTATTGTCTTTGAAATATGGTTAAAGTGCTGCTGAATGTGCTGACAGGCATTCACCATGAAGAAAAATAGACTTCAATGTCATTTCTATTGAAACTTATACGTCATGCATTTAAATCCATTTGTAATTACACATTTATAATGATGGAGTTGCAATTTAGTACATTTAAAATATATTAACTTTAAATGTAATATCAAATTACACACTACGGTTAAAAAAGTATAATTATACGTGCTTTACATGTGCTTTAGTATGTTAGTCAGCACATCAAAATAAGTGAACTTCTTTAAAGCGCGACAAAAGGTTATTAAAACGTTCATTTAAAATGCACTTTAAATGAAACTTTTAATTTGACATTATTACAAAGTGCACTTAAGTGTGAAACAATCATTTAAGTGTCTCTCTTTAAATACACTTAAGTGGCCTTTATTTAATTAATATTGTATTATCAGCAAGTACAGTTTATAAAAATATACGTTTTAAAGATTTTTCTAGTGCACACGCACGTTCAATGCACACTTCTATTTGTCAGAGGTTTCCGTCGAACTGAATCCATTCTAGCCTTCAGTACAGTGACAGTGACACTAAACATCTGTTAAAAACCCATCTGTAACGATGGTAATGATTAAACTCCTTCAGTGACAAGAAACAGAGCGCTTGAGCTGAGTGTGACGTGATTTCTGTTTAAGATGAGATGCTTCTGAAGACATGAATGCGTCCTGTGAGCGTGCCTCACCATCTCTGGACCGCAGGCTGAGCCCTCGGCGGCTGGCATGAACTTGGTCTCACATTTTCTTCCGACCCGGTGGCACCACAGGGCTTTACAGATGTCCTGCGTGACACACATTGATATGGATGCGTTAAAGAAGCTGTCGCTGTGATAAAAGACTAACCAGCAGAGATCTGCCAAGAACTGTGACAGAAGTGAACAAATGAAGGATTACAGCACACTGTGTAAGGGACAGATGTTCTTCATGTGCTGTGTGACTGTCCAAAAGCAGCTTTGCACAATAATGCCCTCTGGATATAATAATGACATGTCTGGTTTGTTTTAGCTTATGTTAAACTCTCTGTTTGTGGTCATTCTGCAACCAAGGGTCTTGTTTTGTTTTGTTTTGTGTGCGCATTAAAACAGCCATAGGACAGATTAGAATATACTATTTTTGTGCATTTCATTTAGTTACTTTTTTCACGTTTTAATAGTTTGAAAGTTTAAAAGTCTACTTTTGGCTTTCACCATTTTTAAAGCTTTCTTTTAACATTGATGCAGTTATAAAAAAAAAGTGTAAAATTCTACAAAATAAAAGTTTCTAACGTTCAAAACTGAAGAAATTCAGTCAGCCATAAATATTACTATTATAATATTACAGCTCTAATGTATAATAATAATAATAATAATTTAGAGTGAAATATTACAATAGTAATATTTATTATTTTGTTTTATTTGCAGTTTTTATATTTGTATTTAGTGGCAGGATAATAATAATAATAATAATCACCTTCATCTGGAATTTTCAAATGATTATCCCAGTTAGATTTTCATATACAATACTGTATATATATATTGTGTGTTTTTAGTGAACTCTTTTGTGGATTTCTAATTAATTTTTCATATTTTTAATAAGTTCTGGATTCAAAAATGCCACTATTTCCCTATTTTTGGCTTCAGAAATGCTTTTAATTTAACATCCTGATATGAGAGCAGTTTTGTTAAAACTGTGGGGTATTGGGGAATTTAAACCAGTTTTAATTTTTTATTTTTTTTTACAAATGTAAAAATAAGTCTACTTGTGTTGGAACATTACACCAAAATCCACTTGAAGGCTGATCAAGCTCAGACACACAATTCATGTTTTAAAATAAATCCAGTAGAGTTTGAAGAAGATTCACATTAATTTTTCATAAAAAAAAGTCCCTTACTGAACAATGACTTGTAAAACCTATACTTCATAATTCATCAGACATCCTAAAAGTGTCTTACTGTCCTGTAAGAGCAGCTCCCATGTATCGACCTCTTCAACGCAGCGCTCGTCTCATTCACTCACTCTGTGAGAAGAGCGAGGAACGGCTTATTACTCACATCTGGATTATTCTGTCATATTAAGAACAATGGGAGCACAGATGGGAGGAAAGACGGCTTTTTGCCAGAGTGAGCCCGGTCCAAATCCCAGCACAAGTTCTGCAGCTGTGTGTTAAAGCGAGACCTCCTCGAATCCGTTCCTGCTGAGCACGAGGAGAGCGATCACACAGCGCTCATCTCAGTCCCGCTGCCAGACAATATCAAGACGCTAATTCACAGTGAAAGCAGAGAGAGCTCAGCTTCTACAGAAAGAGTTCAGTGACATCCGCTGCTCTTCTGAACTGAGGAGGCTCTCTTTGTGGTTTGTTCTTATAGCCTGATGTAAATTCATCTTCAATATCCACGTGATGTTTTCACAGATTAAAGAAACACTTTAATATCCAACGCTGTCATGTTTTTATACGGCCATATAAATACTATTCATTATCACAAAATTACAAGTTTAAAACCTTGTTTACAATTTTTCTGTTTAAAAAAGTGAAAAAAAAACAATGCTTCAAAACTAAGAAGAACTATAATAATACAGTAATTATATCAGTATAATTATTCAGTTTTCATTTGCTACTGTTCAAAGGTTATTCTTGGTTACTTATACACTAAGGTCGGGGTTTGCACTATTGTTTTAGTCTCTTCTGCTCAGCAAGGCTGCATTTATTTGATCAAAAATACAGTAAAAATGTGAAGAATTATTACACTTTAAAATAGCTGTTTTCTATGTGATGCACAATATTTTTGTAGAAACAGATGCATTGTATTACTCTTTGACAAATGAAAAGTTCAAAAGAACATAATTTATTTGAAAATGATTTTAAATGTCTTTGCTGTCACTTTTTTGATCAATTTCTAAGTAAATGTTTTCCCATTGTGAATAAGTTTTAACCTAAAGTAAATTCAATTAATAACACTTCTGAAAAAGACGACTACATTGACATACAGCTCAAAACACGTTTGGTAAAATATGTTATAATTAACATTCATCTTGATTTATGCCAATCAGTGGCATCGGTGCCCATCACCTCGCCTCATTTCTGTGTACAGTAGAGATCAGGACAATATGATGAACACCGCTTCCCACTGGCGTCGCTCCGAAGCATATTTAGCTCTGCGTCTGCTTCACGAGAGCAAGAGAAGAGAGAGAGAGAGATCGGCCAGAGCCACACTCCAGCAGATTTCTCTACGGAGAGCTCCAGTTTTAGATGTATAGTCTAGACAGTGGGAAAATGATTTGAGCAAAGTTCAGACCTGAATTCCTGCATTATAGAAGAACTTTACAGCTGATCTGAGCAATAGGGAAATAAAGACAGTGCTCTCCCGATGTCATGAGCAATCAGACGTGAATATATCAGCACACATCAGGGCATGTGTGCATCAGACTCTCTGGATGCAGGTCACACGTTCACAGAAAACACACATGCATCGCAGAGACTTCGGTGGAAAAGTGTGGAAAGACTTGCATTATTCCTGAAACTCCTGAACACCTCTTCTACTGATCTGACCTCTGAATGTTTGGTGGATGTTTATCATTCAGTGGAAATTTTGTTTTAGAAGACTTCATGTTTTTTAAGAATATATTCACACGTCTAAACAGAAGAATTGCAAACCTTCCTTTACTTTATTTCTTCATGATTATTTGAGAATCGTTCAAAGTAGAAAGATATAGATAATAGTTACTATTTTAATGCTGTCCAGATTTACATCTTTGTTATTTTTGTATGTTAGTAATTGTGCCTTATGAAGTTAGTATATGTCTTCTGACTTGGGATGTACATTTTATTAAAAAAAGAAGATGAAAAGTGGATAATATTTTAGTTTGGGGGCCAAATCTCACCATTGACTAGCTGCTTATTAGCGTGCATTTTACTAGCATATTTGCTGATTATTAATACTTATAAATAACATATATTAAAGTCTTATTCTGCATGACCATATTTTAGATCCCTTAATGCTTAAACCCCATATCTAAACTTAACAACTATCTTACTAACTATTAATTAGCAGCACATTAGGAGTTTATTGAGGCAACTGATACACTTTTTTATTCACATAGAGTACAATGACTATAAAAGGTCCACTTGCATTAAAAATGGATTAAATGGAATAAATCCACTTGCATTTTTAGAGATGTGAAATAAGAATCAAAGACAAATCATGAAAAAGTCTTATTGACCACAAACCTTTGAATGGTAGTTTATGTTTGAAAGCCAGTGTGCAAATTACAACCAGTCTTCTTAACTAGCTTAAACAGAAGGACCATGCTCGGTTGAGCAGTGTGTTTTGTTGGTGAGCAGGCATAGCTATATAGACCAACACTAACCTAGCTAAGTGTGCGCCAGCATGGAAACTCGTGCTGTCTAATGCTGCCTTCAAGAGCTTTGAGGAAGTTCCAATTTGTAAGTCTGGAAGTCATAACTAAGTGCATTCTTCTGATTTAGGTCGAAATGCCATGTATGTGTTGGGCAATTTCATAAGGCTCTTTTCGCTTCCTGACAAGAACAGAAGGCTCTTTACAACACGATGAGGTGTGCAATCTTTTAATAACATGTGTTATCATTCTGGTGTAGTAGTTTTGCAGTGTAAACGTTCGCCTCATTAACAGGCAAGCGGTTCCTGCCAGGCCTAAGCAGCTCATCTTCTACAGTACACACAATGTTCAGTCATGTGGTGCCGTTCACGTGCACTCAACTCATCTGACATGATGCGTCTTTTCAGGAGGGGTTTCATATGTAAAGCAATATGTAATACTGATATTAACCCATTAAGCCCCCCATTTTTGACCATAGACATGAAAGTGCACTATCCAAACCTAAATTGTTATAATTCATGAACACTTTGGAATACAAACCTAAGGTTGGACTCCTTTTTTAAGAGGACAATCTGCAGATTACTGCAGAAGTGGAATCATTTCAAAATATTAAAGTATCAATACGTTATAGAAGTTTACATTTACTGTAACTGTAAATTGTATTTTATATATATAAGTAGATATTTTACAAAATATTTTTGAATCCAAAATTGATATACAATTAAAGCCTTATGTCTAAATAAGTTATGTTCCAAATTTGAAGTTGATATAAAAACAAAATGAGGTTCCTGGGAGATTTTATTTAGGGCGTTATTCCACAAACAGCCACCGGGTTAGGGTTGCCGTCAAAACTCCATAGAATTTTTGTTGATGCATTTTTCTCTCACAAAGGTCTACATTTCTCTGTAAATATTATTTTTATCAAAAAATAGCAACCAAATATGGAATCTTGAGACTCGGATCTTTCCGAGGATATGTATTTTGTCAAGATTATAAAGAAGATTCGAAAAGACCGTAATACATTTTGTAATATGACACTTGACTCCACCCACTAAGGGGAGGAGACCGCTAAAAGATTTTAAAGTATAATTTCCATGGTAACGCAATGTCCGATTTAAAAATGGTTTTCACAGGATGGCACTTAATGGACTTGCCTTCTTGAAGTCCAGAGTGCAGAGTTTAGCTTTCTCTCCGAACTGCCACTTGCACTGCGTGTCGGCGTCGTACAGCTCTCCGGGAAGTTTCTCAGGGTACTTGTACTCCTGGATGGCGCTGGGTTCGTCAGACAGACAGGTGGCCTGTGCGGTACTGAGACACAAACACTACTGTAAAACCGCTTGAGTCCCGTACAGTAGAGCAGCAACCATGACAACATAACAAGTGGAGTTCCCTCGTCTACATTTAAACATCTCTCTTTTCAACACATCCTCTGACTTCATCATTACGTATGTTATTGAACGCTGCCGTTATTATACGGCTGACAGCGAGGCTCCGCGTGTAAGCGATATCGAGGATCATGAGAAAGCATTTAACATTGTTTAATAGCGCGTGTTGTAGTAGCGTGACGCACAGTGAAGCCCTGAACGAGCTCTGAGTAGTTTAGCAGGCGCTCCATGACGAGACTGGGTCAGTATGTACGTTTGTGTGGGATGTATGTTTGTAACGGGGGTCACATCGACTGCTGTATTAGATCTACATACATGCAACACGCACATCTCAAAAAATATACTAACACAGGTGCTCAAACTAAACAATTAAAGAATATTAACAATAAAATCACTGCTGCGTCCATGCAATACTTGAGTTTAGAGCAGCATGATTTGTATTTATTTTTAATTTTTTTGTATCTATTTATTTGCTTTAACAAGTTGTGCTTGTTTGTAGGTCTGCAGAAAATGACAAGTTGACTAGTTAAATTAAGCAGTCACTCGAACACATGGTATCTGTAGATGTTCTTGTTGAAGGACAATCCATTATAACGTCAACTACATCCAGCGATCCCAGAATCCCTCAGTGATTCAGTGCATCCTGTGAAGGGAAACCCTGTTCTTCTGCAGCGCATGTAAGTCCTGCTTCCAATTATCTGGAGAAGGATCAATGTGGCAGCATCTGGCCTGCAGAGGCAGGAATATCAGCGTCAGATGAATCTGATTCAGTTCCTCATCACCACTCGGTTCTCCCAGTGTGACCTCTTTAAGTTTCCTCCTCAGATTAAGGCGAGCGACAGCTATAAGACAGAGCGGCTCGGGCCTGACTCCCTTTGAAGCTCTGTTTTATTAGTGATAAAAGCGGAGGGGTATGCAGAGGAAGGACAGAAGGTCTGAGAGCAGCTACTTGAAGGTCTGTGATCTGCAGGCTGTATGTCGACAGGCCCATGGTGACGTAGGCGAGGCTGCTGATGAGGAATGGGAAACAGATGGGAGGACAGCTGACAGAGACCGAGTGGCCCTGTTTATCTACAGCATGCTGCTGTTTTTGGGGTGTGGAAAGATAAATGAGGGATGAACGTACTGCACTTTGTCGCCTTCAGATGCCCAGACAGTCCTGGAAAAGCTGTGCTTCACAGACAGACTCTGGTGACACTAAAGCAGCTGTCACTCTGCAGGTTGACCATGCAGTTTGGTTTGATTGATTGGTTGGTTCCAAATTCACACCTGTTATCAACATTTAGGGCAGGTCCGGTTCTACGAGGGTGCTAGAGCACCCTCAAACGAAATCCATAGCACCCTCAGTTAAAGATTTGGCAAGCAGAGGCGTTTAAGCAGTTCTGAAAGAACTTACTGAGTTCAAATTTGGAGTTTTTGTTCCATTTACACTTGGCCACATACATGTGTCTCCGCAAACCGGATATAAATCTGATCTTGAATTGAAGTGGTTTGAGCAATAGGATTTAAAAAGCATTCTCAAAATGTCTCGAAAGCAATTCGGGGGGCATTTACACCTGGTCTTTTCACGATCGGATAGCTATCTGATCAGAGAAAACGCATGCAGTGACCAAGTGTAAACAGGCCCTAAAAGGGTCAATTCACCCAAACATTCTCAGCCTCATGTCTTCAGCTTCGTAAATTTACGGGTGAACGCCTGATGTCACATGGACTATTTTACTATTTTTTGATCGTGGTAATATCCTTGCTGTCTATGGAGGGTCAGAGAGATCTCAGATTCCATCAAAATATCTTAACTTGTGTTCCGAAGATGAACGAAGGTCTTATAGGTTTGAAACGACATGAGGGTGAGTAATTAATGACAGAATTTTCATTTTTGGGTGAACTAACCCTTTAAGGTCCTTGCACACCGAATCCGAAATTTTCGTCTGAAACGTTCACACGTTAAAAAAATTAATTCAACCTAGCATTGTGTCAATCACATTTACGCACTGCCTCCGAATCTTTTGTCCATCATTAAAAAAATTTGGATCGGGTTCCAGTTTCTGTGTTTTTCCGCATCTGTAGCAAGCATTTTGAGAGGTGTTTTGACAACTCAGAGCCACTGTAGAAGCGAACGCCAAAAGCCAGAATGGTGTCTGACAAGTTGCTCCCACTCAAACTCAACTGGTTAAGGATATGGACTCGAGTCTGACTCAACAAGGTGGATTTGGACAAAACACTAGCTTTTGGATTATTGCAGAAAATAATCTCTGTGACCAATAAGGATTTTTCCATTGGCGATTTGGTAGATTTGGGGTACTTGGACTCGGACCTAGCACTAGCTTTTGGATTAATGCAGTAAATAAGCTCTGTAACCAAAGTTTATGATTCTTGCATGTTTTGTCCATCATGATAATCGTTGCAAATTAACAAACATTTTGAAGCCTGAATACAACTGGCATTAGTCAAAGTTAAATGTAGGCTATATATGAACTATGCCATGGTCACATGACTTCAGCGTCACCCATGGTTAGGCTTCGACAACTCTTTCAGTCTTTTATAAAACACATTTCACTGAAAGTTTGAGTTAGAATAGTTTGCAAGAGTGCAATTATAAACATTAGCTATGTTTCCATCCAAAGTTGTGAATTTAACCTATGTGCAAAATTGGAATATCGCATAAAACATTTGTGAATAAAGCCATCCAGCAAGATGATGAGAACAAAATCATAATTTCCTGATAAACTGGTGCCATATATCATATGTAATAAATGACATGTGCGTTAATTAGATGTGCATCAAGTAATTTAATCGGTAATTGTGTTTTTATCATAGTTTATGCAAATGTTTTCTTTGCCAATGCTAAATGGGTATGACTCAGTTGAGCGCAGACGTTTTTTAAGTGCATTTTTAGAATTTATGCACATTTTAGCATTTCCATTCAGCATTTTTATGCAATAAAATTAAGTGGATGGAAACATAGTTAATAAGGTTGAAAAACAACCAGTAAGTATTTGGGTTTACCTGTTTGGTCTGATGACATTTAATGTCCTGACAACCTCTGTAGTCTTTTTTTTAGGTCAAGTAAAAGCCTTCCTACCAAGTAGATCAATTTGAAAACATTGTTTTTACATTGTAGTGTGGACTGTGAAAACGGAGGTATTTAGTCATGTACAGTACCAATAGACATCTATGTTTATACCGGTATGTGCCTTTTACGTGATATTCACTTTCAAAGTAATGCTACAGACTTTGTTACTTTGTACAATCTTTTAATTACATTCCTGCAAAGATTTACTTGCGTTTGATGTCCTGTGGCAAAACATGAGGGCAGTTGCGAATTAGACCATCCATGCTAATTGCATGCATGCTATACATGCTAATTCTGCCAATAAAACGATGTTTCTGTCTCACCTCAGTTAACTTTTATTACATTTTGCACATGCTCGGTAAGATGATTTTGCATTTTCCTACATTTCAAACTTAAAAATGCTAGTGTGGACAGAGAGATGTTGCTTTCAAATGTATCCAGATTAGTGTAGGAATCGCCAAAGTAACTGCTGGTCTGAATGGGACTCTACTGAATTTTTGCATTTCAAATTTACATTTATTTATGTATCCATCATGACATTTAAGGTACACATTGCATTCAGGGAATACATTTGATTACATCTTGCATTGCCTTGGAATCAAACTCATGACCTTGGCGTTTATTAGCACTTTTGAAAGCATGCATCCCAGAACTTATGTTTTTTTTTCAGATTTCTGTGCCAGGAATCAAACTGCAACCCTCAACCACAATGCTGTGCACAGCATGCCATAATGACCAGGTCAAAAATCCTGCAGATTGCTGCAAGCCCCATTTTCTTCTGCATTTTCAAACAACTCTTCAGTCTCCACATGAAGCGTTGCTGGAAGACGAGCTGTAGAAAGCAGGTAAAGCAGCTCAAAGCATCTGACAGACCCCTGCCAGGGAATCCCTTCTTTCGCTGAGACCTAGAGCTACTGATCCGGGCGGCAGAGAAAAAGATGATCTCATCACCATAATGGAGCACAAGGCCACTGCATTTGACACGTCCGTTAATTTAAGTTTTTTAATTTAAGAATTTACCACTGACGATTCAAACGTGAGTTTTGGGCAGTGTAGAGTAGCGCTTGTTGTTTGTCATTTCTCCGATCACAAATGCAGACATGGTTTTATGTTTATGCGGCGCGATGCAATGCAATGCGTAAAAAGACAGTATAAGTCATTATAATCCATAATTATGTCCCCACTGGATGCAACAAATGCCTCGTTTATAATAGGTTTTAATGTTTTTGTCTCGTCGCTCCGGCCGGGCAGGGGATCACAGTATGGCGAGGGGCGTAACATTTCCGTCACACGCTTGAGGTATTCGGCCAATCACAATGCACTGGATAGCTGGCCAATCAGAGCACACCTTGCTTTTCAGACCGATGAGCTTTGTAAAGATCGACGCGTTTCAGAAAGGCGGGACATAGAGGAGAAACAATAATGTACAGTATGTGGAAAATAATGTGTTTTTTAACCTTAAACCACATAAACACATTTCATTACACCAAATACACAAAATAATATTCTTTTTAGCAGCATCATATGACCCCTTTAAAGATGAGGTTGGTGTCTAGACTCTCGCTGGACTCATGCTGGGTGATTCTGCATGGATGACTAATGGACAGGAGATGCTCAGTAAAGGGCACGCTTGTTAATATCTTTGCACTGTTTTTCTAATGCTGCTTTGGGCTGTCAATGGCTGGGATAGTCTTTCCAAGTGACTCAAGACACAAGACTGCTACACTGTTTTGATGCATTGCAAAATGCATTGGATTTCAAGCTGTTATTTGGGAAATGGATTCTAGATGTGAAAAGAAAACTCACCTTAGAAATCGGTTTAGATATTGTCGGCTACAGGATGACCAGGAGAATAAACCATTGTGTCCCGCCAAGGTAGGAGACATAATATTTCCAACCGACTTCTTACATACGTTGCCTTCGCCATCATGGACCATTCCAAAGCTGTGAAAAACAAGGCTTTCATTGATCCAGTACAGGCAACCGGATTTGAGGAAATCAAACAAAGGTTAATTATAAACTGAACTCTTACTTGTGGCCAGATTCATGGGCGATGGTGAAGGCCAGACCGAGACCCGTGTCCTCATTGATCGTGCAGCTGCGGTACTTACTGCACATCCCACTGATTGGAGCAAAGCCTGATATCGAAACAATAAATGGATGGATGAATGAATGATGAGGAGTATATAAGTCAAGACTAGTGTACCACTGCAACTTATTATGAAGTACAACTCATAAAAGGAGCCAAAGAGTCAGCGACAATCATTTTGCACCTGATCACCTCTGACAGTACCCCACCGATCAAAAGTTTGGGGTTGGTAGATTTTTAAAATGTTTTTGAAATAAGCCTTTTCTGCTCACCAAGGCTGCATTTATTTACTCCAGTCTTCAGTGTCACATGATCTTCAGAAATCAGTATAATATGCTGATCTGCTGCTCAAGAAACATTCCTGGTTATCATCAATGTTGAAAACAGTTGAGCTGCCCAATATTTTTGTGCAAACTGATCAAATTAATTTTTCAGGAGTCTTTGATAAACAGCATTTATTTGAAATAGAAACCTTTTGTAACATTATAAATGTTTTTACTGACACTTTTTGAACAATTTAATGTCCTTTTTGATAAAAAATAAAATAAATAAGTAAATAAATATCTTACTGACCCCAAACTTTTGAACTGTACATAATCCATACTGCTTAAAAGAGAGGGCAGTAAACAAGATTTTTTTCCTGTGCAAGAACAACTGATGGACTGCTGTAATCAGGTCAAGGTTTGGAGTGCATTTGTTTCAACACTGCTAGTTCAAGAGCTAGAGATCAAATCCAGTTGTTTCGAGTCCACTGCAGGAAATCTGAACAGATATACGAGTTACTTCAACCAGTATGAATCTGAAACACATTATATGCACGCCGTCTACCGCTAGGAGTGGTGTATTAACTGTAGAAAGCATAAAAAGCCTCACAAAATGCTTTGAACAATTCTGTAAGTGTCACTACGTGGGTCTGAGATCAAAGAGAACTGTATTTTATGACAAATTATGACTTTCTAAGTCTTTAATACAAAACCTGTGGTGATGAAGTCCAGTGTATGTTGGACCAAAATCAAACACCAAAAGGACCAAAGGAGTCTGATTTATTATCCTTTGATATAATCACTTAATATATGTGCTGTTTTTTGACACATACGCACAGAGTGATGAAATACTTGCATGTATTGCACAAATGTGTTGCACCAGAACATGCTGTGATTTATTTATATCTTCTGGCCTTACTGAAAATCTCAAGAGGGACAAAACTATAATACTAAAAATTTCATTACACTTGATATATTGATTCTTATGCTGTAAAATAAATAAAAGAAAACAATTTGTTACTAACACATGTTGCCATCTCATAAATAAGCACTATAACACAAATATATATTTCAATATCTCTCTGTCATAAGACACTGTCATGTGCGAAAAACGATGCATGAGGGTAATCCAATGCATACAGTGGTTTTCTCAGTCTACTGATACTGGATGAAATAGTGTATGCTAGTATTAAAGGTTCAGCAGAGCTCTTTAATCTTCCAGTCCATGACCTCTGAGGGACGTGAAATCTCCCTTGACCTCTTGACCTCTGAGCGTGAGTCTGCACTCAAGTGTTAATCATTGACACTCCACAAATGTTGCGTTCACAGCAGCCTTTGAACCGCGGCCTTGCATTTGAGGGGCATGGCTAGCTTTACTAATGGGGTTAGGAGTTAGCGGGGAGAGATTATTTTATGTGGCACAGGGTGGAGACCACAGCTTGAGCTCTCACAGGTAATTAGAGGAAAATCTTCTTACTGTACCTCTAATAATTTAACAGTTAGCTGTAGCTAAATGGCGCAGTTTAATGATAACTAAGTGCAGTACTGTATATATTAGGTCATAAATCTTAAATGTCACACCACACCTGTGATTTGTTACTCTTTAATGCTTGCAAAATTACAGGAAAACCTGGTCTCATCTTAAGAGTTAGTTTTTGTCTCATAAACTCACATAGCGGCGTTAATTCAGCTTAAGAGAAGGTTTTCAGTTACCCATGCCATTGTACATTAGCGGATGCTTTTATCAAAAACTACTACATTTACAGTTTTATTTGCCATCAGCCACGATTAATCTAATCAGTGTCCAATAACAGGATGGTTACCAAAATATGCTGGGATATGCCAATAGTACAACATTACAACACTATTTAGGGGCTAATTCAATATGTATTGTGTGTGTGATTTTTTTATTTAATGCATTTAGCATTTCATGCATTTAGGCTCATTTAGGCTCATCTGATGTTGTCCTTACCCAGAGTGTCACATGGTTCATCCTTCCAGGAGCAGATATCCAGACCGGTTAGCAGGATGGCATGATCATGGCGGCGACCTTCTCGCCCAGCCAGTCCTGACTGCCACTGGCAGAAACTGTTCAGAGTGTGATCCGCATGATGGTTAATCACTAGTCCATCCTGAGTGAGTAGAGAGTTAACTAGAGTAAACAGCAGAATGAAGTCAAAAGAACGAAACACATGCAACTAGTGACTAGTGCTGGGAGACTAACTCAAACTGGGTCGAGTAATTACAAGCTACCTCTGCTGACCCCACCTCAATAAATGAGTCTATGAGTAATTAGCCCCTCATCACTGATCCTGAGTGACTGCGGCTAATTATTCCAATCAAAGGGGGGATAAGGGCAATTTTCTGCATTCCTCGGCCGGTGGCTAACACGCACTTCATTAACATTAGCACAGGTGTATCAGTAACGGAGCCCTTCAGCTGTTTGCTGGCCCGCTTTCCCACAGACGCGTCCCTCGTCTGGCTGGAATCCAGTGGAATGCAGTGAATCCAATTAAACTGTCATCGTAAAAACAAGACCTGTTCAGATAGAGCATCTCAAAGAGAACGAAGGAGACAATAAAATCCACCTTCTGAAGCAATGTTTCAATCGGTTTCAAAGCTCTGTTTTATCTAAACCTCTCACGGTCCATGACGTCAGTCCCCTCCAGAGGGTTTTAACTCTCATTCATTTTACAAATATACACTTGGTGTTGATGTAACATATTCATTTGAACATGTATTATCAGTGCAATAGAGCCAAAATCTTCGACTTTGTTTTCAAATATCTCCAGTGCATAAACTCACCTGGTCTTCATCCAGCAGTATTAGTCCAACAATTACAACATTGATGTCACCTCCAATCGTGCCATCTTTGAAAAGTGTTGAGACCTTTGTGGAGATAAGCAACAGTGCAGAAAAATCAGCATTAGGATGGTGCATTTATATAGAGGCATCTAAACTCAAATGACCTTCTTGAACAGAGCAATCAGAAGTGTCTCTTTGGAGAAATGAGAAGCGTATGGCTGGGATGTTTCTCTAAAGTTCTTCAAAGCCTCACCTCTCTATATGTACTTAAGGGAATCCCTAATCCCACATTTCACCAGCCTTTGAAACAGAGCTGAAGATAAAGTCCTTAGGATGGTTTAAAGTGCTCAGGTATCATAAATATTTTGTCTTTGTTTTCACTGACACCAACACAAGAGGTGAGCCTTTTGGTTTCAGGTGTCAGTATTTCACTAATCCCTTGTAAACTATGACTCTTAAAACACCTTTACAAAGTCTGAGTTTGATCGGTATGTTCATAACATGTAACCCAATCCTATTTCCATTAGTCTAAAAATGTGCGCTTACATTTTTCACTGCACACACCCCAAAAAGACTCACTTTGACTTTCAGCAATCATTAACTAGTCCATTTGGTCAACCAGATATGCCACAGTGAAGTGAAAACACATGCTCTGACCTCAGCTTGACATCTTTCTCCATGCATTCAGAGCATACTCAACCACAGAATACTGGGAAACGAATGGATGGATGAGAGGATGGACAAATGGATGCATCAATAGCTGGATAGATACATGGATGGATCCATGGATGATAGATAAACAGATGGATGCATGGATGGATGGATGCAAGTGTATAATGGATGCATGGATGAATGGAGGTATGTATGGACGGGTACATGGATGAATGAATAGATGTATGGATGCATAGGCGCATGGATGGATGGATGAACAGATGGATGAATGGATGCATTGATATCTGGATGGTTGCATGGATGGACAGAGATGGATGCATTGATAACTGGATGGATACATGGATAATAGATAAGACAGATGAATGCATGCGGATGCATGGGTGAATGGATGGATGGATATCTGGATGCATCCATGAATATAGATAGATAGATAGATATATAGATAGAAGCATGTACAGTATGGATGGATGCATTGACATCTGGATGGATCCATGCATGGATGATGCATGGAAGGATGAATACATGAACAGACAGACAGACAGACAGACAGACAGACAGATAGATGCATGTACAGTATGGATGGATCCATGAATGAATGGATGCATGGATGGATGAATACATGGATAGATAGATGGATGGATGGATGGGTGCATGGTTGAATGGATGGATGCATGAATGATTGCATGTACAGATGCATGGATGTATGGATGGACAGATGGACAAATTGACAGACAGATGCATGCATGGATGGATGGGCAAATGGATGGATGACTTACCATGTTAAGAACAGTAAGCACATATGTGGTTATATTCTCATGGCCATGATTGTCCATCATCTTGTGGTCGACCACCACCAGGGTCTCCACATTTAGCCTCTTGTGCGTCTGAGGTTTGAACATAATGGCTCGCTTCCCTCTGGGCATGAACTTATATTCATCCGGAAAAATATAGATATCATCCTCGGGAGGTTTAGGCATATCTGAAACACAGGACCAAGACAATATCAACACTAGGTCACACAGTCAGTGCTGGTTCCCCAAAGAAAATGCATCACTAGTTCAGCAAATAGCTGAATCTATGTGTGAAAAACTCTGGCCCATACGAGACATTAATGCACGCCATGTGTGTCAAACTGTTTTAGCTGTTACCTCATGTCCCACATACGATTTGCTTACTCAGTTCGTAAAATATTACTCAGAGTTCAAATGCAGTGTGAGGATGTGGCGTTTGTTTAGAGTAGGTGAAGATAATCCATGCCTGACCAAACACAATACAGGTGTGACGATGTCATGAAAACATGTTCAAACTGACCCTTGAACAGCTGTGACCTCTTTACATATGAATATCGTCTAAAATAAACCCCTGTCCTCCTAATGAATGTCTTTGGCAGTCCAGCACCATGTAATGGAAAGCAGCTCAGTGTTAGAGACTCTGAAGGTGCGGTTGGAAAGAGAATGTCCTTACATACATTTCTTCCGTCTTCCACAGAAGTGCTGTCTCTGCCACGTGCCGTCATGAATGTGCGGCGTACGCTGGTACTCCTTTGGATCCGTCTGTGTGGCTCTCCACAGATACGGGACTGCTGAACCTCTTCTGCTGACCGTCTTTGGCTCAGCTGACCTCCTGTTTCTGCCTCTGTTGATCTGTGCTGGAGTGGATCTCTTGTATAGGATGTGGGGATGCTGGTCAGATGTGGCTGAGAAGTTTTCCAGAAGTGCCTGATGTGGATGCAACGGCTTCAGGAAGTAATCCGCACCCTGAGTTCTGATCAAACCTGACTGGAGGGAAAACACACTGGTCAATGCCTCGCCATTTGATCAAGAAACCCTGCACTCTTCATGCCTCACAATGTGTGTGTGTGTGTGTTTCCTGCAGGAAACAGCAGTGCTTGCAAGGCAGCAAAATAAAAACAGGAATGCAAGAATCCATAGAAATTACATCTAGTGATGTATTGTGGTATAGGTTAATGTCATCGAAGGCTGTGATTTAATTAAATAAGTACTGTATATTTCATTCACCGCAGTCTTATTTGAGCTGTTCTGAGATGTAACACAATATTTTGAGCTGGGCGCATGTAAATAAACACAGTAGCGCTTCACACTAAAACTGCCAGTGCATGCATTCTTTTGCCGACAAACCACCAAAATAAAACTAGATGGTTTAACATTTGAAAATGAAGAGATTCATATATAAATATTAGTACTATATTTTTACAGTTGTAAAATGAAATAACTTTTATTTTATGGTACAACTGTACCATAAAATTAAACATTTTAATTGTAATTTTATTTATTAATAATCACAGCAAAAAAAAATCATTTTAATATTTATAGTCAAAATAAATAGGCTGAAAACAGTGGCATATGAAAAGTCAACCGGAATTTTTTTATACTTTGTTCACTTTGATTTTTGTGATTAGTGAACACTCTCATTTTTAAAGCTTTTCCCAAATTGTTAAGCCCAAACAGGATGGTCTTCAGAGTAAAACGTCATTTTTAGCTCTTTAAATGATTTTCTATGCAGACACTCTAGACGTTCTAGAATGATTAATTCTTTCTAAACATAGCTTTTCAATTCATCTGTTAAAAATTACTAGAATTTTTTCATATTGCAGAAAGACAAAATATTGCAATGCCATTTTTTTTAACATTGTGCAACCCTAACATATATGGACACATATCAAAATTCAGCACATTTTGGTGAAATCTGACCTGTGAATTTGCATAGTGCAAAGAAATGTGACCAACAGGTGAATTAAACATCACAGACTGAACTCTGACACACAAATTTAAAGAAGCATGGTTTGCAGCAATTTAAGTAATTTCATAAGCTCAAAGCCTAGTGTGGCCACAATTTAACAGTTAATATGATATTAAATAGATGAGAGAAATAACAGACCAATCGCAATACAGTATGCAAACAGATGCAAGACAGAATATCAATTGCAATTCAAATAATTAAACTTTAATATATCCAAATAAAATAAAATAAAAACAGCACAACTCAGACTGAAATGAACTGAATGAGTCCATACATTAAGCAGTTCAGGCTGAATTACCCGCTGACGTTTAGTACTTCGTGTAAGAGGCTGAGAACAGACGCTGAGCCGGATGATTGAGGAACACCAGCACAGCGTTTTGCGAACATTGTCATAATGCCAATGTGCTTTAGAACATAAAACAGACACTGTTAATGTTCTGAAGACACCTTTAGTTTCTCAAAAGCAAAACCCATCTGGATTAAAGATGCATTAGCGTGATTCCTGTTCAGGAAGCAGCACAGATCACATTCGAGATGCGTGTACTTGCACATTGAGCCGACTCTGAGCTCAGTTTATGACATAAACGCCCAAATTACACTGCTTTGGAGAGCTGCACTGTCATTAACACTAACAAGCTTCACGTCCCTCGCAATCTGGAGATCCCAAGGACTCTTCAAGCCCTCATCCAAATGTCACGGCAGGTCAGAGCGAGAACTTGTTTGCGCCGCCTCTTCAGATAATTATCCTCAATTGGGCTCCGAGGATAAGCTCCTCTCCAAACAAACAGAAAAGCCCTTCTGAGAACCTGTTTGAACCCAATGTGCATCTGATTAGCATTCATCACTGCCAACAACACTTAAGTTCATCGCAAGGCAATCATACACACAATAGGCTGTAAAACATTTGCTGAACTCTGGGAAGAGAAGACAGAGGCAAAGCCGCTCACTTTTGAGTTGAGGATTTGTGCATGAAGGTGAATAAGAGACACATTCAGAGCTGTCTGGAGGACACGAGTACAATCAAGGACTGAAGTCTCTAATGTGTGTTTGAGGTCGATTTTTAATGGTCCATAATGTGAACTGAGCAGATGTTTATGTGTACACGCTTTTCCCATTCATCTACATCTCATAAATGCTTACACAAGTGTAGCTTTGAAGAGTGTATGTCCTCTCTACAGAGGTTAATGTTGCTTAAAATACTGGTTTATGCCCTTTTTTCCCCACTTTTGTGATGCCAACACAGTCGAGCAGGGATCTGGTCTCACTCGCTCAAGGAACACTGCCCTCACTCCACGCTTAAGTAATCAGTGAGCGAAGCCATACAGGTCTCGCCAGACTAAACAACCCTGATCCAAGATCACAGTGTCTGCAGAGGATACACATCTTGTCACGTAATTAACGCCTGTATGGGAGGTAACTGCTGATAGATTGCAACACTTTTCAAAACAACACTCGCGTGATTCTGGAACCAATGATAATTAGACACTTTAATTAACACAACTTACGTATACTGTACGTTTACAGGCAAGTATTGAAAAAAGGGAGGTTGCCAACTCTCAAGCATTTGCAGTGAGACACTACACAACATCTCACGGCAAACAACAAGACAACGCAAAATAAAAGGACACAACTTAATTTGTCTTGAAATTCAAATGGACTTATATTCATAGAGTTTAATTGGAGCTGCTTACCGCAACAGATGGTGACAGAGGGCTTGTTCCATTTAATAGGTTAAGTGACAATTATGCACATATTTCCATTTCGTAAGTTTGCATTAACCAAGTATAACTGAACCGAACTACAGCAAAACGCACATACATGCATGTCAATTAGACATGCAAATTAGAGCATTATTTTAGATTAATATATGGTATTTCATGCAAATTTACAGTAACTGAACCGGGATTCCTGTACATTTAGACCCTACAGGAACAATAAACGACAGTAGCAGTTTTATTACATAATATTCACCTCTGACTTGTTCCCCTTACAAATGGTTGTCAACAGCAACAATGCAATGAAATGCATCATATTTTGTGAGAAAGTGTGACGTGCTTGAGTGAGGAATCATCACTGCAAAATTATTTAGAAATAAGTATTGTATTTCATTGAACAAATCTGATGCAAATAGTCATTCTACATTTTCTTTCAGCTATACAAACAAGCTTATAATGTATAGCATACAGCACTTTTCATATACCATAACGTGCATCTATATACTACCTTTTTGCCACACAATGGCACAGGGCATACAAAAATAAATGCAATATTTGGTTTTTAATAATGCAATTTTTGGCTGGCAATATTAGCGAGCTAGCTAAGCAAGCTAAGTAATTACGAACCATTTCTAAAAAGTGCAACTAGCACAACATTAGGCTGAAGTATTTGGGTAATTTGCCTTACTGAGGTGAAATTAAATATGAATTGTAGGATTCTTAAAACCTCAAACAGGTGATTCAGCTCATCTCATCAAAATCTCACTCCGGCCAGGCAACCCTTTGAAAGACACAACTCAACAGAACAACACAACTGTTCCGTTAATGCAACGCTACAAGCATGGATGACTATAATTTATGACCTAATTTATGATCTTGGATGGGAATTGATGTCACTCCATGTCGATGGCAGTATTTTATAGAGCTGAAGGGGGCAGCAATACAATTGACATGTATGCCTAATCAGACGAAATAGATTTCAGGCAAAAAAGACAAGAACCACTGGCTGTGGATCAAGTTTTTCAAGTTCGTTAGGCTAGTTGATATCATTAGCAGCTGTAAGCAGATTAATACAGACGTTTCCAGAGCAGTGATTCGAGACTCCATCAAGTGAACAACACCTGGGACTTAATCTCACCCTGAGACCAAAGGTCCTACAGTCAAGCATTTGATCCTTTATTGGACGCTGAGAACTTCAAAGAGCAAAATCACCCAGTTGTTTTGATGTCAAGGCAGCAATCCTCATGAGATACGCTCGTCTTCTGTCACCAGATCACAGTGTTTAGTCAACAGAAGCGACCTTTGCCAGAGCCGAGGCTTTTGGGCTAGACGTGGGATGAAGTTCAGGCATGACTGGTCACTCTGCATGACTCCAGCCTCATGCTCTCGTGTTGGGAGTTTCAGCCGTTGTCAAGACTAATTCCCAAAGTCGAGTCTATTTATGGCGATTGTGCTTTCATGCTATTTACACGCTTGCTGCAAGTCTTCCAGTCAGTCCTTCCTATCCGTCCAAAGTTTAGTCAATAGAATCCCGCAAGATTGCAATTATGGCTTCTAGGTAGTTGAGGAAGACAGTGCGAGATCTCAGTGACATAATTCAGACAGACAGTGAGCGACCTTGCAGTGACCCCCTGTCGTGTTTTCCATTCGATTAAATCCACATGGCTTTCAGATATGAAAATATGCACTATGCTTAGTGTTCATCCTCTGTGACATCACTTTATCTCAGACTGTAGAAGAACTTTGATTTGCCGATGACCTTTGCTTTGGAGACCCACTGGAAATTGTTTCCAGAGACACTACAGCCAAACAGCAAAATTTCGTAAACCTTCTTCTTCTCAAATTAGTCTTCAGAGAAACAGATCTCAGTCATCTCCCTATAGAGTTTTAGTAGAGGTCTCAACAATGTCTCAAACTCTACTCAGGTTTGTCAAGAACTCTCTGTCTCTGTATACCAGGGGTTCTCAACGCCGGCCCTCCAGATCCACTAACCCACAATGTTTCTCTCCAGCCTTGATAAAACTCACCTGACTGTAACTTTTTAGTAACCCTGAAGACCCTGATTGGCTTGTTCAAGTGTGTTTGATTAGAGTTGGAGCTGAACTCTGCAGGAAAGCGGCAAGAGCTGAGAACCTTTGCTCTATACCTAACGCCAGTTTAAGTATATCAAATGCAGCATAACATGATCTATAAAAGATCAACATATGAGTGAGAAAAATCTCTTTGTTTTATAAAATTAATAAATAAATTAATTCTGCTTCTCTGAAAGGTACAGGATGTGTTGACAAAGATTTGCAGTGCAA